TCAGTCTTCATTGTATACAAGATGTAACATATTCTATGCATTCAAAAATCTCACATCCGAGTCCCAGATGCCCAGGTCCCGAGTCCTGCATTTCGGAGGTCGGGGTTCGGCAACCTGGAGCTCGGCAACTGTGTTGGGTGTCAGGGTATCCAGAGCATTGGAAATAGCATGTGTCAGTATTTTGTGTTTCATGGTTCATGTTTCGTGGTTATGGAATCGGGCGTCAGGGACTCGGTATTGAGAACAGTGTTGAGTCCCAGGTCATGAGCTCCGAGTCCCGAGTGCCGAACCACGGGTCCCGAGTCCCGAATTTCAGAGGTTGGGGTTCGGTGACCCGGAGCTCGGCAACTGTTGGGTCTGGGGTTCGGGACTCAGGACTCGGTGCTCATGACCCGGGACTCAACACTGTTCTCAATACCGAGTCCCTGACGCCTGATTCCATAACCACAAAACATGAACCATGAAATGGAAAATACTGACAAATGCTATCTCCAATGCTCCGAATACAGTTGCCAAGCTCCAGATCGCCGAACCCCGACCTCTGAAATTCAGGACTTGGGACCCAGGGTTCGGCACTCGGGACTCAGAGCTCGTGACCTGGGACTTGACACTGTTCTCAATACCGAGTCCCTGACGCCCGATTCCATAACCATGAAACATGAACCATGAAACGCAAAATACTGACACATGCTATTTCCAATGCTCTGGATACCCTGACACCCAACACAGTTGCCGAGCTCCAGGTCGCCGAACCCCGACCTCCAAAATTCGGGACTCAGGACCTGGGCATCCGGGACTCGGTATTCAGAACAGTGTTGAGTCCGGAGTCCACAATGTCGGGGCTCAGGGTTTTGTCAAATGTGTATGGCAATAACAAATGTTAATTAGAGCGTATTTATACATCTTCCCCCAGTCTCAAATATCACGTGCTGAGGTCCAGGTGTTGGGACTCAGTAACCCGGCACCTGGGACTCCCATATGTCAAGTCATGAGTTCCAATTATTGAATACTGAGGCTTGCATCCAAATTATTCAGTCCCACATATCACTTTGCAAATGCTCAAAATTGAGTATTGAGGTCCGGATAACTATTGGTACATGGTATTCATTTGTTGGAATGTATATAGGTCACAATGCTTGCTCTTTGTTTGATCTTTCACACGCTGTATGCACCATCCACACTAGCCCATCCACATGATGGAACACCAGCGTAAATGTGAACAGCATCCCTCATATACCATGCCCAAGCAATCTGATCCCCTTCCACATCATAAACTCCATGTCTCACAATCCTTCCGGAAAATGCAATCATACAGCCGGAATTGTACTTGAACTCCAGCTGAAGGCTTGGCATTGTCATCCGAGCATTAGAATAGTTCCCCATGGTGGTGAGAATGCCGAAGCATTCAGCAATGGACATGTGGTCTTGATGATGGGGGGTTTCCTGATTGGAAATGATGGAGAGGGTGTTAAACACGGATGCCCAGTACTGCAGGGCCTCTGGCATCTGTGGCAGATCCTTGCTTACTGCTATATTTCCAAGGTTTGACAAGGTTCTCAATCCTGCCCAGTACTGCTCAGGATGCATGACTCTGAGTGCCGCGGACGCGATGGCTGCTGGCCTTGCAATGGCTTTGAGAATATTCTCACAGGAAGGTCCCTTCAATGATGCAGATACCTCCGGATCTGACACATTCTTTGGGATTGGTGAGTATGACTGCCAGAATCACCATCCCATCAGATCCTACCTCGTGTCCCTGTTGAAACCATGCCGGAGATAGATTGATGCATCCGGGAGTTGGTCCAACATCTTCCGAGCCCTGGTTGAACAATGTTTGATTAGTTCGCCAATTGCCATCAGCCCTTACACTTTCTTCGAGGCTTGGAGCGAGCAAATCGGTGGCCTCCCTGATTTCCTTCTGTAGGTTCCATTAATATTCAATATCCATTGAGTAACAATATATATTACACACCTGGGTGGTGTCGGTCAGGGAATCTGGGAGGTACCATGCAATGATGGCACCAGATGCATCGACAATTGTGGCAGGTTCATCGACCAACCTTTTGCCTTCATGGCCAGGAGGACACCTCTCAAGCAACCTCGCCTCTCTATGTTCATTATGCCTGGTGTCCTTTGGGGAGATCAATTTGCTATATCTTGCAATATCCATCTGCATCTGAACTGTCATGCAGGAATTTGAATGATAAAATGAATTTTCCGAATCTGCACGAAGACCCACTGGGATTTTTATATGCCTTTATGAGTACATCAGCCAAGCGATCACATGCCATCACCAGATCAGTGTCTAGGTTGGGAGAAGGTATGACTGGGCCTCCTCCAGTCTTCTCTGCCTTGAATTTCTGTTCAGTATATTCCCCTGCTTCATAAGTCACAGTCAGGGCCCAAGTGCGCCAGATGTTTATGCTATCAGGAGGGGAAGGGGAAGAACCGTTCATGCTGGATGTTAATCTTGGGAAATCAGACGCTGAATGCTGGATGTCCGGACTTTGGTGTTATAGGGGGTGGAGATAGAGAGGATCAGATAAGGGAGCCTGGGATAATTTTGGCTGTCAAAGATGTATTATTATCCATTGCTCAATGAAATACTACCTGATTGAAAGTGTGCTGGTCATCAGATATTCATTTGTTGACTCCCGGGTCCCGGAACTCGGAAGTCGGTACGGTGTAGGGATTCATTTCTGGCTGGGCTGGTAGAGACTGTTTTTACCTTACCTTATGTTGGCACTTTTGTAGCTTACATAATCAATCAATCTTTTCACCAGTTACCAGTATGAGTCTGAGTGCTCAGTAGTTTTCTATGATATTTCCTCTCCTCTGAGCCTTAAGCCTAGTCCAGAAACCCTTTAGGGTCAAATAGCAGCTAGGTTCTGCAAGACCCAACATATTGTTCAGACTCACCATCTGAATTGTTGTACCTTCAACGGTTGACCCATATTTGGGTGGTTGGAATTTGGCGTCTTGTAGGGCAACACAAGCTTCGCACAGCCATGTCAGGAGATCACCTGCTGCTCTGGGAACTTGGTAACTTTGATTTATTACCTCCTCTGAGTACGGTTGACTCACATTTTGGTGGTCAGAACTTGGCTTCTTGTAGGGCAACACAAGCTTCGCACCCCGGATTCCACATTCTGCAAGACAACCTAAGCACCATCAAAGGCCATGTCAAAAGAGCACCTGCTGCTCTCTTCAGAAACATCTCAACTTCGGTTGGCCATTTAACATGGAAAGTATTAACCAAATTATGTGTTGAGTTCCAGGTCCCGGAACTTGGAACTCGGAACTCGGTACAGTTGACTCAAATTCTGGTGGTTGGAACTTGGCTTCTCATAGGGCAACACAAGCTTCGCACCCCAGATTCCACATTCTGCAAGACAACCTGTGCACCATCAAAAAGTATTAACTAAATTATGTGTTGAGTTCCGGGTCCCGGAACTCAGAACTCGGTACAGTTGACTCAAATTCTGGTGGTCAGAACTTGGCGTCTCGTAGGGCAACACAAGCTTCGCACCGCCATGTCAGGAGATCACCTGATGCTCCGGGAACTTGGTAACTTTGATTTATTACCTCCTCTGATTTGGTTGATGTACAACTACCTCAGCTCCATCATGTCTACAATTATGATACACATGGGCCCACTCATCTATATTTTATACCACCCTCGGCCCACCTGTCTAATACAACATCCCATACAACACCCTCGGCCCACCGGTCTAATTAATATGTGTCTGGGCCCACCCGTATAATACAATATTTTATAATACCCTCGGCCCACCCGTCTAATACAATATTTTATGATACCCTCAGCCCACCCGTCTAATTTAATATGTGTCTGGGCCCACCCGTGAATGTGATAACAAGTACCTACCCATCTATCTCATACACATCTACCTTAATACACCCATCTGCATAATATCCAACTACCTTGGCCCACCCGTCTACCTAATATTCATGTACATCGGCCCACTCATCTACTCTATATATTCCCTGCATGGGCCCACCCGCCTCCATCGGGAATAATTTGCCTCCCGGCCCATCCGTCATAGTCGAGGATATTGTTATCCTGGGCCCATGGTCTGCTGGCCCATATCATATGGGATATTATGCACGTCCATTCCCTTGTATTATACGGAGATAGGTCACTGTAATATATGCTGCTTCTGCCAGCTGCTCACGTTGTTTCAGGATCTTCTTCATAAGTCAGTGTCGTGCCTCCTGACGAGCCATATGTTTCGCTGTGGTTTTCTTGTTCTTCGGAGTCCTAGGGTACCAATGCTTAAGTGATTGATGCTCCAGTTCGCCCTACCAGTGTGTGTAAGCATGTAAAGCCTAGGTATTTCTTAAAAAAATGTACCAGCTGAGTAGAGAAATTATCAGTGGTTCCCATGTGCCATATCATATTAGGATAGTCTCTGAGTGTGTGATACTTATAAGTCTCAAGGTTGAGCTTCTTTGACTTTGGCCCAATGGCCGCTGAATCTGTGGCCTTTTTCTTCCCATCCCTAACAGTCTGCTGACTCGCCAAGGCTGCAGCTCGTCGTCCATGGGCAGCATATTCATGAGGGAGCTCAGTGGTGTGATAGTGCGCACATGTTGTTTTGGAAAACTTTTGTACAGACTGACCCAAGACCACAGTCACAGTGTCGAAAAACCCAGGGTATCATCAGTATGCAATTGGAGTTTTGCATATCCATGCCTAGTAGTGCCATGGCTCAGCTATGGCTGGCTCTGGTTCAGTATTTACTGGTTTGCCAGAAGTTCAGTGATACCTGTTAGCCAAGCCACCAATCACTGACTTGGTCCGATTTATAAGCCATGTGAACCAGCTACGACTTTTACAAGCCGAAAATTTATGAACCGCGGCTTGAACCGCTTTAAGCCAGCTCAAGCTACACGGTGGTTGGGTGCTTTTTTTGTTGCCTCCAGTGTTGCTTGTCAGATCCCCTGGATTTCTCTACTCGCGGGCTATTGTACTATACACTATGGATAAGGTCCTTGTTCAAGTTGATGGAAGGTTTAGGCTAGGAGATGTTTTGGGAGCCGGCTCGTATGGTGTGTTATCATGATTACTGACTACATGTTGACTTTGACATTTGGACCCCATTAGCTGTCGTGTATCGTGCACGGAACATCATAAAGGATGATGCAGTTGCCATCAAACTTGAACCCATCACCCACTCATCTTCCGTGCAGCGTGAATACAACATTTTGAAACACCTTGAAGGCGGTGTTGGTATTCCCCGTGCCCTCTGGTTTGGTAGGGAGTCAACATATCACACTCTCGTTCTCAATCTCCTTGGGCCATCCCTGCACAGTCTCTTCCTTTTGCACAGCCGCAAATTCAGCCTTGACACTGTCATAAATCTAGGAGATCAGCTGGTCAGTCGGTGTGTGGGTTGCATGTACAGATCACTAACCCCTTTCCCCAGCTCTCACGTCTCAAATATATTCACTCGCACAGTTATGTTCATGGCGACATTAAACCCCAGAATGTTGTTCTGGGTCTTGGCGATTTGAGGCACACCGCCTTCATAATTGATTTCGGTATCGCGAAGGAATTCTGGAATATGTCAGGTGTCCATATACCATTTCACCAAGGTCAATGTCTCACTGGCACTCCTGCATTTGCATCAATCAACAATCACTTGGGAGTCGAACCAGGTCATCGTGACGATCTCGAGTCACTTATGTACATGTTGATATACTTCTTGCAGGGCTCCCTTCCATGGTTAACCAGTGACCAAGAGAAACTTTCCAGCACTTCCATACTCGAGTGGAAAGTGAACACTACCATCGAAGACTTATGTCGTGGAATTCCTGTCAAGTTTGCAACAATTCTCATTTACACGTGCTCACTCGCATTCTCAGAGGATCCTGACTATAACCACCTTTGCTCATTGCTTCATATACTTTGTTCTACACCACCTGCACCAGCTGCATGCTTGCTGGATATAAGCCAGCCTGAAGTAATACCTATGACGCATTCCCCTCCATTCTTCGACAAACCTTGCGTAATTGAGGCAGTGTCTCCATGCCCACCGCTTCGCAGATCGACTCGTATGTGAGTAGTTCATTTATCTTAGTACTTACAAACTAATGTGATTCCAAGTTTGCGCCCACGTAATGGCTCCCCATTACGTGCAACATCTTTAACTCCACGCTGGAAAAAAACTAGATCATGATGCTGTTGGATACATGTATGAGTAGTTTGTACAAGCACTGTTATGCATACTTTATGATATAGTATGATTTGCCGCACCTACAATTTCTCACAACGAGTTTTGCAGCATGTATATGACGTGGCGGATGCAATATATATTAATAACCACTGAACCAGGTATCCCTGACTCCCGAAAATCTCTTTAACTCCCACGCAGCGCCTCTTATCTATCAACATCCTGCAGGCTGCAGCCCTGCCTGGAAATGACCTTCGCAGCTCGCAAGGGACTCGTTGTGACTTCCTAAACAATTAATATTGGTAATCCAGCCACACCACATAATAACGACAACTCACTGAGTGCTTATCGATGGAGCTCTAATTTTGACTCCATCGATCATTCAACTGCACCTGAGAATGAAGATGTGCTCGACTTCAACCCTTTGGGCCCTCTGGAATCTGGAGCTTCAAGTCGGAGATGATTCTCTCCAGGTACGCACAGTTGCGCAAGTTTTTTTCACCTCCCACTCACCGCTGAATCAGATTTGACTTGCATGAAGCATGCATGAGTTGCGGAGTCATACCTCATGACAATCGTTCATTGGGCTTTCTATCAGGGACTCAGGATTACTGCATATTGGCATATTCTGGAATTTCCCCAGATGCCACGATATGTATATCTAGACCAGCAATTCTGCTGTTGGATCATCTTCACCACCATCACCACCAACATGCCTCCTCGACAGAAGAACGCTGCACGGGCTACTGCCAGAATCGCTGTCGCTGTTCCAACTGTTGTTCCCATCACTCCCACTGCTGCTCCCGCTCCAAATGCTGCTGCTCCCACTCCAATCACTGCTGCTCCTGCTCCAATCACTGCTGCTCCTGCTCCAATCGCTGCCGCAGTGAATGCAAATATCCTTTGTAATCCTCAAAGACATCGTCAGTGTCCTGTTCGATTCCGAGAAAATGGCGCAGATGAAGGAGAATCCTTCCATCTTGAGAATGTCTCTGGTGATGAGGGGGACGAAATGGTCAACTTACCTGCGCCAGCAGTTGGGCCTGCTGCAGGCCATAGTCCACTGCAGACTGCAATGAATACCGCTACAACTGACCCTTTGGCGACTGGTGGCCAATCAAAACCACCTAAATCCTCTGCTGATATTCATTTCTTCTTCAGACAGGACCCCACCACTCTTTCGAATATCTGCAAAGCCTGCGAGTGAGTGTCGTGTATGGAGTCTATAGTTTTTTCTGATATCCTTCACCAGAGCAATCCATGATGTTGACAATACTCACCACATTATGTTGTACCTTCCTAGTACAGGCACTTCAGCTCATTGTACACACACCTTCGCCGACCATACCGATACTTACCTGGAGGAGGCAGAGCGCCAGAACTGGCATGTTCTCCATAAGTCATCACGTTTGAAGACTTTTTTGGATGAAGGCTGGACAGTCGCGACCATGCATCAAAGGCTGAAGGACCCGGCTTGCATGTTAGACTCACTCGGTACTCCCCCTAGTCCTGGCCCACTCCCCGGAACTAGCCTCTCATTTCCAGACGATATACTGCCTGCCTTTACTCTGGATGAGATGCACAAACATATTGTCAAATTCATTATTGCCAACAATCAGGTGAGTCAATGTACACTTTCTACACACTATGTTTAATAATCGTCCTCAGGCGATTAACATTATAGAATGTCCGGAATTTTGTCGTCTGATCCATCTTCTGCAGCCATCGGTGAATGAGACCGATGTATTTCACCGTATCAAAATTCGTGAGTTGGTCATCAATGCTTTTCATAAATGCTTCAATGCTTTGAAGAGGGACCTTGCGGTAAGTCTACAGCTGTCAAGAGCCCTACCAAGTATCTTATATCTTTTAGGCCGCCCAGGGAAAAGTTTCATTCACATCTGACCTCTGGTCAGATTCTAACCTTCGCCCGTTCATGGCACTTACTGCCCACTGGATCGCTAAGGCCGATCGAGGTTCAATGCTCACTTTGAGGGCTGCACTCATCGGCTTCCATAATGTTCCAGGCAGTCACACCGGTGAATTGCTGGCAGGAGTCATCATGCATCTTACTGATCGCGCTGCTGTGACTGAAAAGGTCAGTGATTAATTGTACCATGTAACACACTCTGACTTCTTTTAGACTGGTCACTTTACCTTGGACAATGCTGCGAACAATCAGGTTTCCATGCGAGAGCTTTCGCAAAAACTGGAGTGCTGAGGCATTGATTTCGACCCCATCGAACGCATATCATTAATGATTACCACAAGGCCGACTTTTCACTCATGCCTGAACAGTGGGTAAGTGGTGATCGCACCATCATCAAGGCGGAGTATCTCAAAGCAGTGACCAGGCAAGCTATCAGCAGAGCTAGGGACCTTGTGCGCACAGTTCATGCATCAAACCAGTGATGTATTTCTTTCAGGGACACTATCATTACAGGTAACGAGAAGGAGTGGTTCCAAGATGACGTGGGCACAAAACTATGCCTCCCTGTTGTCGAACTCCTGCTTGATGAGGTAACCCATTGGGATTTAGCCTATGTCATGCTCAACCATTTACGAACCCTTCGCCAGGTAAGGCATCACGCATGAAACATTTGTCATAAACTAATATTCATCCAGGCAGTAGATTTATTCTTTGACTCTCCCACTCAACGCTCCATCAGCAAGTTCAAGTTGAGTCCGATGGATTGGCAGTTCTTACAGGATGTCGAAGTAATCCTAGAGGTTAGTTTTCTCATCTTCGAAATGTTTCATCTTATCGTTATATACTAGGCGCCCCACGCTGTCCAACAAAGCATGTTGGGCGAATGCACTCCCATGCTGAGTGGTACATATCCAGCATTCGAAACATTGATAGAGCAGTGGAATTCTTTGGCCGATCACGTCCCACACTGTGACCCTCTTGTTCAGATAGGTCTGACTTGGGCAGATAAGTATGACGACAGGCTGGGCGCCACAAATGCCTTTGCAGTCGCTATGCGTGAGCCCGGTATCTTTTTCAAATAATTGGTTGCTCACAATTGCATTTATAGTTGTTGATCCTGCGGTCCGAATGTCATGGGTTCGGAGTCGTTGGGCGGAACAACTGGTTCGAGATGTAGAGAAACATATAATCGATCTGGTACGTTGTGTCAAACTATAACAACGCAACTTTGAACTAATATTAGCACACGCAGATGCATAAAAAACGAACCACAAACAGCTCAGCATTTGTCGAGTCTCCAGCTTATGAAGTAAGACCTCAGCAACAACCACGCATGCTAGGCTCCCGCCTTTACGGACTTCCTGATATTGGTGTCCTGGCATGTCACAACAGTGGCACCCAAACAGTTGAGCAAGAATTTGAGGCCTACACCACGGGTAATCTCAGCGCCAAGGGAACTGATTACTTGGGTTCTGGTCAGTAAGTGTCCCATATCTCTACAATTCAAATCTTTATTGACCATGTGTTCACCAGGTCTCGGAGACCTTATTTCCGACACTCTATGGTATTGCGATGGACTACCTCCCTATACAGACCTCTGCCGTTCCATGCGAGCGAGTATTTTCGTCCAGCAGTGAGACCAACACGAAGAAACGCAATCACATCAGCCCGGTCCTGATGGAGGCCCTGCAGGTGGTAAAGTTTCTCGTGAAAAAAGAATGACTTAACTTTATGGAAGGTTGGGCAGCGTCGCAAAAGGCTATGGAGTATAAGGTGTTGGGTGAGGGAGACGAGGCTAACACTCTTTTGACATTTCCAGCAGCGGAATGACAGGTGATGTATATGACACCCTCCTCAGAGCTATTGCAGAGGAGAAGTGTGATGACATCGATGATGTTCCTATTACCTATGACATGTGATGTTTTCTTTCTTTGTTTTACTTATTCTGGTTGCCTGGCATCTTGCAATGTCTCTCATGTTGTATTATGATTTCAATTTTCAGCTATTCTCTCTTTGCTTGCTTGACTGTCTCTTTCACCCCTTTCATTTGCTGAGTGTCACCTCGCTCTGATGATCTATGACATTGTGAAGGTGACGGTGTAGGGATTCATTTCTGGCTGGGCTGGTAGAGACTGTTTTTACCTTACCTTATGTTGGCACTTTTGTAGCTTACATAATCAAGTTACCTTTTCACCAGTTTTACTATGAGTCTGAGAGATCAGCAAGTTTTTATGATATTTCCTCTCCTCTGAGCCTTGAGCCTGGTCCAGAAACCCTTTAGGGTCGAATAGCAGCTAGGTTCTGCAAGACCCAACACATTGTTCAGACTCACCATCTGAATTGTTGTACCTACAACGGTATCTACCATGCATCTTCTGCGCTATAATCCTCTCAGTACCAGGTGTGCCTTTTTTTCTCCCATCTTTACGATCACTAAACCATTGCCCCGCCAACCACCAACATCACCTTCCCCATGTTTTCTACAACTTGTCCCCCCTGCAGCTGGCAATACCATTGGCCTACCTCTAATCCCATTATCTCACATCCAGCCCTGCACAATGCTCGCTATGAAGGGTGGCCCCATCCCCCACTATTATCTCATGTGTTGCACCATTCGCACCACACTCACCAGTCCCATGTCTCGCATCAGTCTCATGTCTCGCATCAGTCCCATGTCTCATATCATTCACATCACACTCACCAATCCCAGTCGCGCGCGCGCTCGCCGGCACATGTGGAAGAAGATGACAGAGTGACGCCCACGCCCTCTCGTCCGCATTCTCCGTTGTTCTCCTTGAACCAGGCTGAGGAGGAGCTGGTAGCAAATGCACTGGCCAAACATAATGCTGGTAATTGCATTTTGTATGCCCCTAGTACTCTTGAACCAGAAATTGTCGACTCTCACTTCCACGATATGGACCTTTGTATCTTACTTCATCAAATGGACGATAACACCACCCATGAAGTGGTGAAGAAGGCGCTGCAAAAAGAATTGAGGCAGCGTGTCAAGAAACTGGGTATGAAATATGACCAAGATGTGCGCTCAACTGTTTATTCTTCATGTTGAATGTATCTTACATCCTCACAGTCCAAGCGACAGTACAGGAAGTCATTCCATGATCATGATCCTAGCGTTCATCTGGATGCGGGCTTCCAGCCAGACACAGTAAGTTACTCCAATTGTCTGTAACATTTGGATCTGACATCAACTCTGCAACAGCAAGAGCCACCTGAATGGGCCAAAGAGCTTATGAACAGAATGATAAAAGTCCAAGAGTGTCTTGAAACCCTCAGCCCTCAGTCATTGAATGCGCCCATGCCACCTCACAGCCAACAGTCATATGCCGAGTCTGCTGTTTCTCGAGAGCAATACCGAGCAGAGACAGAGTATTCAGAGAACATGGATCAGTACGGCCAAACCCCGTGCACTCAATCAAAAATGTCTTCTTAGCCCATTCCTAACGTTGTTTCACACAGTGACGAAGCGAGACAGCAATATGTATTCAGCCCGGAGACAAAGGCGAAATGACAAGACAAGGAAAGATCTCTACTTGGTACATCTGCTCTTGACATCGCGCTACCCCTGGCTCAAACGAAGCTTCCTCAACACTCCTTTCACCCATTTCTTCACTCGCCCTTCACCCACTGCTCCCTCGACTCCCTCAATGTTTCTTCTCACCCCCATTTGCGATGATCTTCACTTTCACAAAGCTGCATTCCTCCTCTCTGCTTGCTCTGCCTGCATCCTGCGAACACGATCCAAGCTACAATACAACTAAATCGGGTAAGTTTTCCAAACATCGGTGTAGAGACTGATATCTCTGTGGGCTTGCAGGGATCTAAAATCCCGTTGTCTCTATCACTTCCCAATATAGTGCGACTCATATCTCGCCCAGCGCACTTAAGCGCTTCATCGGCCGCTCACACGCACCAGCGCTCCAGCCACTCCTTAGTCGCACATCGGCGCACACATCCTCAGTTCTGTCGCACGTCCTCCGTCCATCCATTCCATGTCTGTTCGGTTCATCTGTGCGTATTCCGATTCTATTTTTCATTGATTCTAACATATCTCTGGCGCTTATGGCCTTATTTCATATGTTTTCCGTTATGGACCCTTTATTACATATTATCTCACATCCGCTTTGCTTCTCGGTTCGCTTTAGCGCTTGACAGCGCTTAACATTACTTGGTATATATAGACGCGTATAAATTGTATAATGACTATCTTTTCTGCCCACACATCATTGGACTATAAGTCTAAGTTGTCCTCTAAAATCTAAAGTATCTAAGTACAATATGAGCGCCGCCGCTGTACATTACTAGAAACTCTGCCCATTAGTATTCTGACTCATTAAGAGTCGCTGTGCTCCACCACCCGCACACGCACCGCTTCCGCTTAGCGCGCGCCGTTATCTATAGTCGGCCGCTATCGCCCATTGGCGCTTCACATCGCCTTCGCTCGCTTGCGCTTCACTCATCGTCGTGCGCCTTACCAGGCTTGATCAAGTGCCCGGTTCAGTGTTTCCCTCCGTTTTATACACTTAGAGGAACCTTCTCAGTAGCAATCCCCTTGGGCCGACGTATATCTCGCTCACCAAGGACTACTTGAGTTATCTCATACCACCTATATTCACCCACTTCCCAATCCTCTTCTACAACTAGAGCCCACCGCGAGGGGATCATCTGAGAAAACCGGTAGGTTACTCAGGCCTACTAAAGAACGCGTCGCAAGAAACGAAGTCTTGGAAGAATTCCGAAGAGCGGTTGCCTCTTCGCGCTTATCCACCATTCAGGAAATTCTGACTCTGGTCAAATACAACCGGCCGCAGAACTTCTTGGAGCTGACGCACCCCGACCTATCCCTATTAACACCAAACCCATTTGCACCCACATCACTGGTCACACCATCGCCCAGAGAATCAGTACATGGTGAATCCTCGGACGACTTCGAAACACATGACCATCCCCACAACTTGCCGCCCAGCGCGTTTGTTGAAACACCTAAAAATCCGCTAGATCTGAACTTTATTTCTTTGTCTCCGCTTACCCTGCTAACCATATCTAGCACAACCATCAAAGAAGAACCTTCATCTCAGATACGCGCGCCGCCAACAAGCACAGCGCCTATTGTTAAAACGGAACAAACAGAACCCCTAATTGGGCCGAACTCTATTCGGAACCGCGCCGCCATATTTATCCCTCAGTTCAGTCATCCAGGACCCTCAAACGTCATACTCCCAACACCCACCATAGCCAAGCCTCAACCTACCAAACCTCAATCCCAACCTGTCAAAATGGCCGCAACTATCAGAATGCCGATCTGCAGCTTGGACAAAGCGCCGAAGTTTGACGGCATGGCAGAAAATCTCCTCGCATTCATTGAGGATTATGAAGCATGTGCCGACGACGCGAACCTTGTCGGAGGTGATCGCATCAAAGGTATCATCCGCTACTTACCTAACAGTGAGCGCGTGCTCTGGTCCAGGATGCTGGAGGCGAAGTTAAGCGACTATAACACTTTTATTAAGGAAGTAAAAGAAATGTATCCTGGCTGTGAAGGCGAGAAGCGCTACGCCGTATCCGACCTACAGTCGGTAACATGCAAACACGCGGCTCTACCAATGCCTTCGCTCACCAAGCTCGGCAATTATCGCCGCACTTTCAGGGAGATCGCTGATTCCTTGATTGCGAAAGATCACATAGGTATGGCGGAATGGAGCTGCATGTGGTTAGAAGGGTTTCTGAGCAATATCCAAGCACTGCTTCGCACGCGCTTAATGATCAAATTCCCAGATCACCATCCGCGCGACCCTTATCCTTTTGCAGATGTAGACGCGGCCACCAAATTCTTGATTCCAGGAATGGGAGCGGTAACCCCTGAAACCATAGGGACGTCAGTATTAACGCCGTACCCAAGCGCTGCCACATCGGCGGCAAAGGCACTGCAACAACCGGCACAAGGTATGGTTGTTAAACAGGAGTACCAAGCCCGACGACCCAGCGGCAGTTCATCGTTGAGCGGTTGCATGTTCTGCGGAAAGAACGACCATTTCCTCAGCCGCTGCCAAGAGAAGGACACCTACATCAGCACCGGCAAGTGTAAGGTACACGAGACCTCGATGAAACTGGTATTGACCAGCAGAGATTGGATTCCCGGTTGCGCAAGCAATGGTACCCTGAAGGATCGGCTGGATAGGTATCACTCGAATAAGCAGGCAAACGAGGCGCTCCCCAGTTCTAGCGTTACCGCGGCGACGGATGTCGACATCGTACTAGACATAGACCCGTCCGCGTTTATCCACACTGTCGCAGAATCTGAGTCTGAAATAGATGAGGAGGAAGTAGATGTGTTACGTGCCGCACAAGCTCTCGTGCTCGCAACCGCCTGACGCGATACCAAGTGTGGATCAGCAAAAGGCAAAGGTAGGGGAAAGACCATCTGGTTTGACAGCGTAGAAATTGCCAGCGAGTACCGCGCCAAACCAGTGCCCGCATCTAGGCAAGCCACTGTAGCAGAGGAGATTGTCTCTCCTGCTGTCCAAGCTTCGTCGAGTAGGGGGAAAGCGCCAGAAGTCACGAAAGCAATAACCACGCCAGCAGTGGCCAAATCATCGGCGAATGCGCGCAGGGTAAACGCTGCTCCCATAACTTCATCTTCATCCTCACCCGGTATAACACACACTGACCTCACAGATTCGACAACAGCCACGGCATCATCTTCGGCGAAAACGACATCATATCGGTATTCGCACAGCTTAGAGGACAAGGACGCTGATAAGCACATCCTCGAGCGCCTGCTAGATACTCATATCAATATCTCGACAAGGGAATTATTTGCAATATCGCCCGACCTTCGCAAGCAATTCTGCGACCTCACCACCACCAAATGCATCACGGTTGGCACAGTATCGTCAATGAACTAACAGGACACCTGGTTTCGGACGAATGGATGCGCGACTATGACGCCAAGCACTTGTGAAGCGACGACGGCCAAGTTGTAGCGGACCATTTTGCACCGCTACGCTGCATTCGCGCAACCACGATCGGTGGCAGAGTAGTAACCTGCATCCTAGATCAGGGCGCCGAAGTTGTGGTGATGCCAGCCACCGTCTGGAAAACACTTGGTGTTGGTCTGTGGTCAGACCATCGCTTAAACATGGAATTGGTAAATACTAACAAGGACGCGACGCTCGGTGTCATCGAGAATGTGCCGCTAGACTTTGGCGGAGGGCCGCTGTACTTTCAAGTACAAGTCATACCCCGCGCGAGTTTCAAGATTCTTCTCGGCCGCCTGTTCTTTAAGCTAACTACCTGCCGCACGTTTGACCTCCCTGACGGGGAACAGGATATTTTGGTTACCGACCCAAACACGCGCAAGGAATTGCGCATTCCGACCCTGCCTTGGGTTAAGCGCTGCGAGCGCTGTACCAGCGGTCTTTCGTGTTCGGATCACCCGCCGAAAGTAAAGGAGGAAAAGGGTTTTTAATTTTCGATGATCTGCATTATCCGCAGGGAGACAATACCTCTCATACCCCCCGCTACTGGTATTTTTCTTCATCAAGTCTCATTCATTCTCGCATGTTTCCCGAAGTGCCGCAAAGTGTGCGCGCTTCAAGCGCTCGATTATCGCTCTTAAGGAGCATCCCCGCATCATTTCCCAATTCCGCACAAAGTTCTGTTTCTTCGTTTTCTCATCGCATCGTTTCCGAACTGTCCGCACATTATGCGCATTTATCGTCCACCCGTTCTGTTATTGATAAGGTGTCTATCGACACCTTCAATTCTTATTATTATGATTGTGCACTTCACGCGCTGGTATATAAACCAGTCGCGAAGAAAGTACGAATGGTGCCTACCACTATGCTGCCAGAGTATAGAATAGTGCGCCAGTTACCTGAAGACCCACTGTAGAGACTCATGCCTCTCATGGTGTGATATGGCACGTTACACTAGGAGTACATAGCACAAACTTGCAGCATCACTCTGTGTGCTATCCACAGGTATTCCACTATGAGGTGCAGCTTTCCCGCGCAATGCGCGCCATGCACGCGCCATTCCCGCGCTTCACGATGTATACGCGCGCGCGCGCGTTCCCGCACTTGAGCGCCCTATAGTGCCAGCCATCCAGAAGCACCCATCCACTGTCCACCAAGCCCTCTAGTGTGTATATTTCTATTTCTCTCATTGCATATTGTTCCACCTTTATTTTTATCATGAATTCTCACTCATATTTATCTTTACATACCTACTCAGTAGCGCTTTGGCTCCGCATTACAGCGCTTAGGCGTGCTATATAAGCGCCAGCAGTACATAGTGAAACTTACTTTTCAAACTACTTTTTACCTTACTGAACTTTCCACCTTACTTTACTTTCCACCCACTATCTACCTAGAAGAACATAGTAGAAATCCATTGTGTCTATACTTCACATCTCTTTTCTCTTATCTTGCATCATATTATCACTTAAGTCTAACCTCTCTATTGTTTCCACACGCGCGCGTGCGTGTTCCCGTGCCTTGCGCGCACCTGCGCTTTCTCACGCCTCACTTCAGCACATACCTCTAGATCTTCGCTGCACTTGCTTCCCCTTTAGGGTCGAACGTACTTGTCTTGTCAAGTAACGCAGACTAGGCAAAGCGTGACCTTACAAACATTTATAGATACAGTCTGGAGCCTCATTTGCTCCTCTCTGTATTGTTGTTTCTACACCGCTCGCCGGGTTACCCGATTTACCGACTCACCCCCCAGAATTCACACCAGGTACCTGCTTCACGTGTGAGCACACGGAAAAGCTAGATCTAGATCCGGCCAATTGGCTGTGGCCTGAAGAGCTCAAGTTGATAACTTGGCTCGTTAAGGCTCACGAACTCGCATTTGCATGGGGCGCCTCAGAGCGGGGATGCCTGAATGAAACATATTTCCCGCCCTATAAGATTCCGACAGTACCGCACACTCCATGGTCGCAGCGCAATATCCCAATCCCACCCGCAATCACCGGCAAAGTCATTCGCATCATCAAGGAAAAGATTTCATCAGGAGTATACGAGCCGTCAACAGCCGCCTATCGCTCGCGCTGGTTTTGTGTCGTCAAGAAGGACGGCCATTCGCTGCGCTTAGTCCACGACCTACAGCCACTGAATGAAGTTACCATTCGCGACGTGTCGGTTCCGCCGTTCCCAGATTTCTTGGCCAAAATGTTCGCCGGATATGCGGTATATGCGATGTTGGATTTGTACGCTGGGTATGATCAGCGGGCGCTGCACATAGACTTGCGCAACATGACAACCTTCGGAATGCCCTTAGGACCGCACCGCTTAACAACGCTTCCGCAAGGACATGCTAACACCGTTCAGGTTTATCAAGGCGACACGGCCTTTATTTTACAGGACGAAATTCCCAAGTACACGTCGCCATTCATCGACGATGCACCGATCAAATCGGTCAATACCCGATATCAGCACGAGGATGGCTCTTATGAGACCATACCCGAAAATCCCGGCATTAGGCGCTTCATCTGGGAACACTGTATAGTGGTCAATCGCATCTTACAGCACCTAGAAAATGTCGGCGCGACGGTATCCGTGACCAAGTTTGTATTAGCCACGCCATCCACAACCATCGTCGGTCACAAGTGTACTTTCGAAGGGAGGATACCCGACGAATCCAAAGTACAAAAGATTTGTGATTGGCCTGAACCGAAGAACCAGTCGCAAGTGCGCGGGTTCCTAGGTACATGCGGTGTCTTGCGCATTTTCATCCGTAATTTCTCACGCATTGCGCGCCCGCTGATTAACCTGACCAAGAAAGATGTTCCATTTGAGTTTGGCGAAGAGCAACGTCAAGCGATGCAAACACTCAAGGACTCTGTTCTAGATTCACCCGCGCTTCGGCGGATAGATTATGAAAGTGGCTGCGAAGTCATCCTAGCGGTTGATACTTCATGCGTCGCGATCGGGTATATTTTGCTACAAGTTGGCGAGGATGGCAAGCGCTACCCCAATCAGTTTGGATCAATTGCGCTCAACGAGGTGGAAAGCCGCTACTCCCAAGCGAAACTTGAGCTTTATGGCTTGTATCGCGCGCTGCGTGCAGTGCACGTATATATATTCGGCATCGTCAACTTAATGGTCGAAGTCGACACGAAGTATATCAAAGGTATGATCAATAATCCCGATTTGCAACCCAACGCAACCATCAATCAGTGGATCGCGGGTATTCTTCTATTTCAATTTAATCTCGTTCATGTACCCGCTGCGAAACACGCTGGCATAGATGGTCTCTCAAGGAGACCATGCACCGACGATGATCCAGAAGAAGATGACGATCACGAGGATTGGATCGACTGCGCTTACTCATTTGGCTTCACGATCCTGAATGATAGGACACTCCAAGTAGAGTCGGCCAGCGCCAAATATGATTTAATTGCGCATATGATGCCATTCATGCAGCCACCAAGGTGCCTACCTGTCTTACGAACCTTCCTTGATGTTACAGAGCCGCTACAAGATGACCCGCAGATCCCGCGTTCCGAGAAAGCGCAAGCGCTCGATAGGCGCATGGTATTGATAGAACATTTCCTACTCAATCGCAAAAGACCCGCTGAATTTACAGATGATGCATTCACCGCATTCATTAGCCACGCGGCGCGCTTCTTCATTCTCGAAGATAACCTTTGGCGCCGTGAAGCGAACAGCAAGCACTAGATCATGGTAAAGCCGCATAAGCGCTACCAAATTCTGAAGCAAGCGCACGACAATCTAGGGCACAAGGGAATATACGCTGTTCGCTCGCGGCTGCTACTGCGTTTTTGGTGGCCGCACATAGATGATGACATCAAATGGTACACGCGCACATGTCACGAATGTCAGACCAGGCAATCGCTTAAGCTCCACGTCCCACCGATGGTACTGACGCCCGGAGGTTTGTTCCGCAGGGTGCACATTGACACTATGAAGATGCCAAAAGCGGGCAGATATGAGTACCTAGTGCAAGCGCGCTGCTCGCTCACATCATATCCGGAATGGTGCATGTTGCGCAAGGAGAATACGAAGTCGCTTATGGCCTTCATATATGAAGAATTCCTATGCCAATGGGGCCCTATCACGGAGATTATTACTGACAACGCGCCCACTTATAGATTAGCCGCCGACATGCTCGCGGAGCAGTATGATATCCATCCAATCTGCATATCGCCTTATAACTCGCAAGCGAATGGTATAGTAGAGTGCTGACACCGTGATGTCCGGGAGGCCATCATTAAAACTTGTGATGGAGATGATACTCATTGGTATCAAGTTGTTCACTCGGTATTTTGAGCCGAGCGTGTCACCATGCATTGCGCGACGGGCTTATCGCCCTATTTTATGGTGCACGGTGTAGAGCCAATCTTCCCTTTCGATCTAACAGAAGCAATGTTCTTAGCGCCGACACCAGCGCGCGTGACGTTCACTACCACAGAACTCATTGCATGGCGTGCACGCCAGTTGCAGAAGCGCATAGAAGATCTTACCACTATTAGAGATAAGGTAATGAAGGCGCGCTTCGCGTCTGTTCGCGACTTCAAGAAGCGCTTTCGTGCAACTATCCGCGACTATGATCATGCGCCCGGCACCTTAGTGCTGGTGCGCAATTCGAAGGTTGAGTATGAGCTCAGCAAGAAGACGAAGCCACGATATTTGGGACCGATGATAGTAGTGCGCCGCACGAAAGGAGGCTCATATCTGCTGGCTGAGTTGGATGGCGCTATCTCTAAGTTACACTACGCAGTGTTCCGCATCATTCCCTATTTCCCGCGCAGCGACGAGTGCATTATGGTGACAAGTGTCACTGGTAAAGACGACGAGACCCTTGATCATTTAGCTGACGAAGATGTTGAAGAACCCAACGAAGACAGCCTTAGTTGTAGGATTTGACCTAGTATATATGGTAACTACCAGTTTTCCCATAGACACTATTCACGGCAACTACCAATTGCGCACTTTGACCTACCGTGCTGGCAAGTACCGCTCATGGCTGAGACCCTCTTCCTAGGCATCCCATCACCTGTTGAAATACCCGCCTCCAATATTCCTGGCATTATATTCATTTAATAATCATACAATACCATTTATACATTAAGCATGCACGTGGGGTAGACGCGAATTGGTTCCGCGGGATCAAACACTCCGTGCTTATATATATTAGAAAATATATATCATATATCATATTTGGTATGTACTTTGATTACAAACGCTGTCGGTCGATACTGCTTTCGTGACTATACTTGACTGTCTAGGCGTTTCACAAGGATGGAGTGAGTCAGTTTAACTTCTGATGGTTTTTACTTACTATTCGACCCATAGAACAAGCAGTCCGGTACCAGACAACACACCTGTAGTGACGCTATCCAACCCACTGCCCACCCCATTGCCCGACCCAGATGCGCCGCCTACACCAGCTCCTGGAACAAACAGTGATGATCCCAATGCCTATGTGGAAAAGCTGTTTTGCAACTGGGTGAAAAACTCACGCCTGGCTTTTTTGAACGATCATTTATCTACTTACCGTGAGCGCGTCAATCAGGGAAAGTCACAAGCGAACAATTATGTACACAAGGTGGTGAAAGATTACTTCAAACGATATCACTGGAAGTTGAAGGTATCAGACGAGCCTTCTGAAAACAATCCATTACAAATGGAGTCAGACGAGTCTCTGTCCCCAGTCGAACTCAAGCAGAAATCGCAAAAGATTATTGCGATGCAGAAGGTAAGCATTTATACATGTATTTATCTACAAAAATTTCAACCCTCGAGTAGGCAATCAAGAGCTGGCTAGATTATTGTGCCAAGTCCTCCAAGAAGTTGCTCGTGCGCAACGGCAAGCCGGAGAACAATGAATGGATTCGGCTTCTCAGCCAACTTTCTGGCGTCCGACGAAACAAACCGAAGGCCTTGCAAGCACACCAGCGATGGTCAAAAGACCATTTCGGGACCAAAATCAAGGCTCATTTTCTACGGAAGTGGCGCAGTGCTGGGCTACCTAGCAAGAAGATGGCAGCCTTCCGTGACAAGATCACATGCAAGCACTTCAAAAAGCTATCGAAAGAAGAACAGACTGACTGGAAGGATAAAGCGCAAGCTGAAGGTAAAGCAGCAATCCAAGAATGGAAGGACCGGCTCGAAGCTGCTCCTTCCACATCTCCCATCGACAGACAAGTGTAAGTGTTCGAATATCTTCATTTGTATCGTTATCGAGAACCAACTTGATTAGGGCCCTGGATAACCTAGCAAGTTTTTCTGGGCCGATTCTGGCTGGTATGTCCGCAACTCTCGGCATGCACGTATCCCTCTTAGTCGGTGGACCCGAACCTCGGAAGCAAGGAAAAATCACCGTCGTCAGGTATGTTTTTTGATATTGTTCTAACACAGGACTAATGTCACACTGGAAGTATGCATGAGGGCGTTGATTTGGGTCCCATACCATGCAATTGGCAGACCCGAGATCAGAAAAAGTTCAAGATGGTTACTAAATATTTTCAAAAGTATTTATCACAAGCCTATAGTATGTTTTTTTTTTCATTTCTATCATCTAACTCTATGATAATTGCCGTCAGCCAAACAGGACTGCGATTCCCGTCGCCTTCCAGACGATCTCGATAACATGTTCACCATTTCGCAGGCAGGCGATCAATCCAACGCCAAAGAGGATCAGACAGGTGGCGAAATGAATAAACCGACAGCAGCTAAATTTAGATCCCGCCGAGTGAAGCCACGGCAGCAAGGTACTAAACCAGGTCGTGCTTCTCGGCAGAAGCCTTCTAAACCTTCTGAGATGGACGAATCATCATCCGAATCATCTTCCCCGACCTCCGGCTCATCTTCGTCTTCATCATCCTCAGCTTCATTGATCTCTACAGATAGCAAAGGAGAAACCCACTGGGAATTACCATTTGCACCAAAGAAAATGAACTACGGTGTCGCACACTTTAATTAACGCCACAAAGAGGCAGATCTCAGGCGACTCAACGCAAGGGGAAGCCATCTTGTGCCAATGGAAACCATTTCACATCTGAAGTGTCGGATCAGACATCCGAAGTGCCGGATCGGGCATCCACAGTGCCGGATCGCTCATCTGAAGCTGCTGTGTTTGAGATGCTGGAAGATACCGAAGAATTTGATGAGCTTGCTGAGAATACCAACACCCCCGTTAATGAGGCCGAGATAACCATCGATCGTCCTCCTGTTCCACCTGGTAAATATGATATCTAGTTTGACATACAAGCGTACTAAATTCATATCTCCTTAGCAATCGCATCTGCGACCGTAATTGAGTCTCCCATTCACAATATCACTGCCCCCCCACCTTTCGCTGACAACGTGATTGATCCATGTCTCAGAGGTGTCTCTGGGGTGGCTGTTAATCATCCACCTGCTCCACTTGGTGAGTGCTGGCGCTCAGTATGCTGACATATTAATATTAACAGCCGGGCAAGATCTTCATGAGCCTGTCAATGATCATGATATGGGTGAGATATCCTCTGCCAAACAGGATACAGAAGGAGCTACAGATGATCATGACACACCTCACATGAATCTCGACGAGCGCACTGGTAACTCAAATCGGACTGCAAGTATGTAATCAATGCTTCTCTTTTGCACCATTAATCATCCAGGCTCATGTACAGCATCTCCTGATGGCAACTTATCGCTCAACTTACCTGCACTCCCGCTCAGCCCACCGTGGTTCAGAAATCCATTCCAGCAGTTGATGAATCCTGCTCTGGCTTCTCCCCAGTTAATCCAGCTATTTGAAAAGTTGGTATGCCTCGAGGATGCCTCGAGCTTTGCGAATGAGAAAGCTGCCTTGGGATGCGAGCATCGTCCAATCGAAGTCCACTGGTGGATTTCCCGCGGACGTAAAGGGAAACCAACCATACCTGATCTAGACGCATTCATGTCGCAATGGTGGTCCTGGTGGCTGACACTTCAACCGGAGTGGAGAAAATGTCAGGCGCCAACACTCATGGCACGTGCAGTTCTCCCTCGCACCGATGACGGCAATTGGGACACCCTTAACAAACCAGGTGCAAACGGCATGTTGTCAATTGTAGCTACCTTGAAATGGTGGGCAGACGGTGCCAATGGCAAAGGGCATGAAGAGTCCTGCTGGGAAGATGCTGCAGACGACGTGACTTGGGTTTTGGACCGGCTCACTGCAATTCGTTCTATGTCGAAGTCTAAGTCTTCCGGTGGTAACAAGAAACAGGGTTGCTCTGATACTCAGGTAAAGGTATCATCATCAAAGAGGACACGTAACCGGCAGTAGTAGACTTGCTGATTGATGGATCGCTAGGCTATAAATCGAGTCACTTGAATACATGTTATGTTGATTTACTTTTGTATCTCGCATCAACTTGAACACGCAATTGTCCGACCTAATTTTGTTCCACGCTTGCTGATAGATTGTGGCAATGAGCGAATTAACACTGTATTCTAAAAATGAAGTGGCTATACTCCAGGAGCCTCTAGTCCCAAGGTCGTCTGGTACATTGTTTCCCCAAGTAAATAAGCCTCGTCGAGATCACCTGAAAGAGCTAGTCTGTAGAGATCCTCCAGCATAGCTACCAGATGCCCAATGAACCTGGAAACCTCGTCAGCAGCACACCATTCGTCACATACACCACACATGTTGAAAATTTTATCCTGCCCCTGCTGTGCCCATAACAAATAAGGTTCGACCGCGGTGAGCCCTTCCCCGAATACCTCAATGTCCCCAGGAACACTGTCATGCAATGACATAGTGTATTTGCAGAGGATGCCCTTGACGTATATTGTAGGTGTCCCAGAAGGAACAATTGCCAGGACTTTATTCTTTGCATCACGCACGAGCCCCAAACAATCAGACAAAGTGATACTACAGCAGATCATTAAAGAAGGAACTTGATTATCATCGAGAAAAGAAGATGTACATTGCGTCGAAGTCGACCTCATCATCCGAGTCCGATAGGACATTTGTGTTAGACTTGGCTGTGATGGAAGGAGTGTTGTTTGTGTGACAGAGACGACGTCTCAATAAAATGAGGTCTCTGTGTCTAAATACTTCAGTTGCAGGGAGAGAGGCAGTAATAATAGTTGAACTTACTTTTCATAGTATCTTTTGCGTTTATCCCGTGATGCCTGCTGTTTGGCTGCAACAGTGTGATGAATGGTGGGGCGAACCATGAGGAAAGATCATGAATACGAGGAAACGAATGTAGCACCTTTATATAAGGAATTTGATTACCTTAAATTGACTCGCTGCCACATAGGCCCATATTTCAGTGATCTTGATCCAATGGTAGGACCATAACTGGGCCAGTCTAAACTCAGCATGCGAGTTCGATTGTGCATTCCCTTGAACACATGATTGCTCAAATCAATGAACTACTATTGATCAATGACTTGGAGCTATCTTACCAGGTGTGATCTTGATGATATGATGGTGAAATTTAGTGATCTTGATTCGACGGTAGGACCATAACCCGGCCAGGAGCCTAAGCTCAGCATGTGAGTTCGATTGTGCATTCCCAATACACGATTGCTCAAATCAATGAAATACTATTAATTAACGACTTGGAACTACATACCAGGTGTAATCTTGATTATTTGATGGTAGGACTGCTAACTTGACCCATGCTTCAGCGATCTTGAATGGATGGTAGGACCATAACCCAAGTTGGGCTGACTCGGAGTCCAGTCAGCATGCGGCAAGTTCGATCATGCATTCACAATGCACAGTGGCTCATGGGCTCATCAGCTAACTAATTAGTGTCAGATAACGAAGGAACATGGCAAATAACATCAATATCATTCACATATATGAGCACTGTGCTAACACACAAGCCACACATAAGTACATGATGCATCACTCGGAGTTCAACATTCATTATGTAATCAACTACTTTGTACATGATCCAAGTCTACAACGCACAAACGTCGTTGGAATCCATCTCAAAAGAAATCGACCACATACGATATCAAGCACTGTCAGATAACGAAGGTTCATTCTTTATTTTTTAAGACACAATGTCACTGTTCACACATATTATAGGCGCAACGCAGAAGTTTTATTATGTAAGTGAGAAATACAAAGTTTTGAGTTTCGACGCTACAGACACTGAACTTGATGAATTGTTCAACAGTCATTTCAATGTATTTAAGAAGATTCAACATACATTATCACTCGTCCACGCCGGAGTACAAAGCAGCTTGATCTGTTGTAGTCTCAGTGCCTTCAGTGGCTGCAGCTACAGCAGCCTCATATGCTTGAAGCCGTTGTATAAACAACAATACTGAGAGGAACAATTGAATGCTCCTTTCTGTATCTATAAAATGTTGTAGGTCGTGCGTTGCCTAGTCTGCGTTACTTGAGGAGACAAGCGCGTTCGACCCTAAAGGGAAGCGAGTGCAGCGAAGATCTAGAGGTACGCGCTGAAGCGAGGCACGAGAAAGCGCAGGTGCGCACAAGGTACGAAGGCATGGGAAAGTGCGCGCGTGTGTGCGGAAATGAGAAAGAGTAAGCTTAAGTGAGGATATGATGTAAGACAAGTGAAGAGAGGTGCAAAGTGCAGACAAATATATTTCTACTATGTTCAGCTAGGTAAATAGTGGGTGGTACTCAAGTCAAAAGTAAAGTTGGGTGAAAAGTAAGTGGAAAAACTCCTCTCGTAGTATGTACTGCTGGCGCTTATATAGCGTGCCTAAGCGCGGTCATGCGGAGCCGAAGCGCTACCGAGTAGGTATGTAAAGATATATATGAGTGAGAAACCATGATAAAAATAAAGGTGGAATGATATGCTAATAAAAGAAATGGAAATATACGCACTAGAGGGCTTGGTGGACAGTGGATGGATGCTTCTGGATGGCTGGTGCTATAGGGCGCTCAAGCGCGGGAACGCGCGCGCATATACATCGTGAAGCGCGGGAAAGTTGCGCCTTGTATAGGGATAGCTGCGGGTAGTGCACGGAGTGACACTACAAGTTCGTGCTATGTACTCCTTAGTGAAAACTTGTCATATCACACCATGAGACACACGAGTCTCTACACCATGCATTGTAATCCTCCTCTGCTTCCTCCCAAATAATTTGACGGATCATACGGCAGAAAGCTTCATTCTTTGTTGGATGTTTGGCCAATAGATCCACGACGGCAATTGCTACAAGCTTAACTAACAAGCAAGTGAGTGGTGGATTCTGTCGGTGCTAAATTAAACTCACCACAGCAGTCTGGCATGCAGATTCAAGCTACTCAATGACCGCACTGACCACAGACACTTTGAAGTGTAATCTCTGTGTGTCCACACTGGAAGACATCGCCAACGTTGTGCGGACTGTCAGGCGAGGGTGGAGGCGTAGGAGTGCTGGACATCTCGGGCGAGGGTGGAGACATAGTAGCAGTAGACATGTCTGAAGGTTTGGATTCAAGCTCAAAATTTTAATTGCAGACTTTTAACAGGTCTTTCGGTTTATTTATGCAAGTAACCGAATGAGCGATGAATCGACCAGGTATTTCCTATTATATTAATGTATCTACCAAAGTGATCGTCTGACACCCTCTTCGTACGTGCTTCTTTTTTGAAGCACTACAACTCGAGGGAGGGAGGGACTCGTTCGCGGGAGCGGGCGTATACTGGTAAGTTCTATTATTTTACCCTCGAACGAGCTTATTCATGTCAAAGAAAAGAAAATACATTGTTTACCGCGACGAGTCTGACTCAGACAACTATACGACAATAGCCTATGCGAGGATGGTAGCGGTGTCAACTAGCAGTCGCAGGCAAGTTATCGTACCCTGTTCTCCAACAAAAGTGAGGGCAGGAAATTTGCCGGAAGACCAAGCTTGGCCCCTGCAAACAGACACTTGGGAGACAGATCCTTGGGAGCCAACACTCGGCGATGATTTGGCATTCAACGAGGTGGAGTCTCGACCCGTCACAGTGGGCAAGGTACCAGCGAAACGTTATGTGAACTCGGTACGATTTCAATAAATTTCCCCTTCAAAAACTTATCTCTTTATTAGGACGCACCTTTGCATGAATGGATGGGGCTCGGCACGCATACCAGATTCCATGAAGAATATCTTCTAGAAGAGCTACGTCTGGAGGGTTGTGGTACCTTGGCGATGACGCCGTGCTCATGCAGTGATATCGACAATGACATACAAGAACGACTATATCGCTGCGAAGATTGCTATGGACCGGATATTTTGTGCAAGTATTGTTGTTTATCAAGGCACGCACATCATCCTTTACATATTATTAAGGTGAGTATTTCAAAGTTCTGACTCTATTAGTATGTTTTTGACGACGGGCAGAAATGGAATGGGACTTATTTTGAGCGCACTGCCTTGGCTGACATAGGGTTGAGAGTTCAACTCGGACACGAAGGAATGCCATGTTTGTGTCCGCAAAGAGGGCATAACTCCTTCGTCGTTATTCACACCAATGGAATCCACCGTGTAAACATTGATTTTTGTGGCTGCCATCAGCAAGTCTCTCATCGCCAGCAACTGTTACGTTGCGAGTGGTATCCAGCTACCTTATATTATCCTCAAAGTGCCTGCACAAAACGGGTTTTGGAGTTCTTCCTCATTCTGACATGGTCAAGCAAAGTATCTGGCTACGAGTTCTATACCAGTCTAGAATGACTCACTGACAACACGCGTTTAAAAATACCTAAGGTACGTGACCACACAGCCTACGTCTTACAAATATTGACCTAGTCACAGAGTCGGTATAAAGAATTCATGCAGATGGTTCGTCAGTTTCGGCACATTAAGTTGATGAAGCAAGCCGGCCGCGGCAATGTAATGGGTGGCATCTACGAGACTCAGCCTGGCGCATTAGCTGTAAAATGTCCTGCTTGTCCACACCCTGGCATAAACTTGCCGGAGGACTGGAACAAGGTGGATGAATCAATGAAGTAGGTTTTTTTCTTGATTCGCTGCATCCATTAAATGTCCCCCTCATAGATTTCTGTATTATTTAATTATCGCTATGGATGCCAACTTCCGCCTCAAGAACAGGGCTCGATCTTCTACAAATGCTGATCCTGGGCTGCACACAGGTCTGGCGTACTTCGTTCCTGAAAAACCTTATGTGGAGCACATACTCAGGAACGCAAGTCAAACCGATGTAGGTTTTGAAAAAGATTCACTCTCGATGCACATGCACATGCTTACGGGGCACCAACCCACTAGATTAGCACTTGTTCAGGCTTTAGGACATTGGCGCACACTGAATCTAAGTATTCGAGTGGGTTGCGAGCGACTGGCATTGGCTTATGTCTTTGTGCACGCCATGAATTTGTTCGACTTCAAGGAGTTGGAGACCTTCAAAAGGGTGAAAGGTATTTTCGTTTAAAAATGTCTATATCCAACTGTCTAATGAAGAATTTAGATACGCTAACATGGATTTCATTTTCTTCTCGTCCATCATGCCTCTCCTCCTTCTCTCCGTCGTCATCTCTTACGATATCGCTTGCCAGTGGAAAATCAACCTTACAAAGAGAATGGATGACCTTCCAGAACACCTTCAGATTTCGGCAGCTGTCGCTCTTGCGGCATTTATGTTTGGAATCCCTAAGTTTCACTGTCCTGCACACGAGGAAAAATGTGCGATCCCACATTCGTTGAACCTCATGCCAGGCGTAGGACGGACTGATGGTGAGGGAATTGAGCACAATTGGGCAGAGATGAATCGTGTTGCGAACAGCACGAAAGAAATGGGCCCCGGTTCTCGACACGATGTCCTCGACGACCATTTCGGATATCACAACTGGAGTAAATATACTGAACTAGGTAAGATTTTTTTTCTATTTCCACCTATACAATGATGATTCAATTGATTTACAGGACTCTCGCTATGGAGAAAACTTCTGAATGCCGTCAAGGAGCATGCTCATCACCAGTCCTTTTTGCGTGACTTTGATGAAGTGATTGGTGATACCCATCAAGGAGAATGGACTGCAATGATCGAGGCTTGGGAACGCGATAAATCAAATCCGAACCCATACGTGCTCAGCAGAATTAGTAATGTCCATATATTTAATTTTTGTCGTTGAAGCTGACTCTGGTATAACAGATCTTTCAGAGGCTCAAGTACGTATTAATCTTGCGAATGAGGAGAAGATTGCTATCAGTAATGGGCATGTACTTCCGCATGAAGTGACTCCCAGTTCTTTCATGAATATGGCCCTGGTTCTTGAAGATGCTCAGTAAGTTTTACTCCTGTAATAGTATGAGACTCCCTTCTGATCATTGTCAGGCAACGAATCAAGGTTGATGTCACATCATCTCTCAGCACGAATCAATACGCTGAACTTCACCAACGTCGGGTCACGCTACGACGACAGCTAGACCGCTTCCGCATCATACAGCGGGTATATATGGCAGGTATCGAAAAGTGGATTGAAGAACATGATGGGGACTTGTCTGATGACATCGAGGACGAACATCTCTGGCTACCATCAACACTCCCTGAAAGTGATCGAGAAGAAATTTGTAGGAACAATATTGCTCGCATTGAGGCCGAGCTTCGCAAAGGGCAGTGTCGTGATGCACTCGATAAGCTCCGCAAGCAATTACATACTAAATCTCATTTCATTAAGCACCGCAATCTCGATTTACGTGGACAACAAGCGAACACTCGCGCGACTTCCTTTCTCGCTCGCTTCGACAGCAAAATCAACGCTGCTGCTGCAAAATATCGTGTCGCTTGGTCAGCATTGCTCGAACTGGTTGGGATCAGTGAGCTGGAGAGGGAGAAGGAATTTCAATGTTTAGAGGTGAAGGATATTGTGGCACCCGTCGACACAATGTCAGGTGTCAGGAGTACTACTGGAATGCGCGGAAGGACAAGGTCCGAGCAAGACACATTTCGTGGATTAGGGCAAGGCTATCAGACGACATCGTGGATTTGGCTGGCTTCAGGAGTTCGGGATGATGAAGTTGATGGGGGTCTGAATGATGGTGAGTGTATTTGCTGTTGCATAGATTGACTTGCTTTTTGATGTTAAACGTCAGTGTTGCGTGTAGAATGGGGCAAGTCTCGTGTGCGTGCACAACGGTGGAATGAAGAAGTGTATCTTCTCAAGGAGGAAATGCGGCGAACACAACAATTTCTCACATGGTGTGCAAAAGAGTGGGAATCTGTTGCTAACCTATCGCACCAGGATGCACAAATCGTGGCTGGCGCTGCCGCATATGCGAACAGGCAGGTGGCAATTCAGCACGCATTACTGGCTCATTTCACTGTTCTCTGGGGCGCTGGAGTTAGCGCGAATGACACAGCCGGTGAGGATGAAATGACCACATATTTCGCTGAAAATGAGGATGATTTTGACAACGATGAGGGGTAGGGGATTGTAGGGGCTTTTTTGTCTATTATTTTGATCGTGCCAATATTATCATATTTGTGTTTAATTAGTCATCATCAATGAAACATTTATTTGAAACATACATTTAAATATGATTATTCGTGTGGATACCCATATTACTGGTGTGAACCAGGTGTGGGTGACAGAGTGGCAAGAGCCATGAATTAGGTCAAAGTGCATAGCTGGTAGTTGCTGTGAATGGTGTCTATGGGAAAACTGGTAGTTACCATTATACTAGGTCTAACCCTACAGCCAAGGGTGACGAAGATGAACCCGAGCGCGCGTCTGACGCATAGCGCTTATTCACTTCCCGCATATCAACCGACACTCTCACACACATATCCGCACATAACCGCCATCGCTCCGCTGAACAAATCAACAAAAACAAAAATATAACACAAAACAACTGCAAAAAAAAAAACATACCATAGATTTCTATTCTCTCCATTTTACCCCGGGTTTCGGCCAGCGACCTCAGTTTCTCTTATCATGTCTCATAACACGCGCATTGCATTGAACATACACCCAACAGGCTCTATCCTATACAGCCGATCGACTGATAATCAACCGCCAAGTATATATATATTCAAAAAGACAAGTTATCATAGAAGCGCGCGCATAAACCACCCATAGACTTTCTATTCAAACGCGCGCAGCTGCGCCACACCCATTTACATTTATAGAATGATATGCCAACAGAACCTAATAACCAAGCGACGCACAGGGATTATGAAGGAATAGACGTGACAGGACGCCCGACGAAGACAAGACAAGCGCGCAGCTTGTGCAACCGCTGTATTTTCCTTATAAATTCTATACCTTGTCATGAGCTTACCCATAAATTCCTACTTAATTAGGTCGGCGAACTTATTTGGACATGGAAATGGATTTGGGACAGACATCAGACTGGACGCGACAGGATATTATCATAAGGCGCTGTAGAAACAACAATACAGAGAGGAACAAAAGATGCTCCTAACTGTATCTAAAAATGTTGTAGGTCGAGTGTTGCCTAGTCTGCGTTACTTGAGGAGACAAGTGCGTTTGACCCTAAAGGGGAAGTGAGTGCAGCAAAGATCTAGAGGTATGCGCTGAAGCGCAGCGCGAGAAAGTGCAGGTGCGCGCAAGGCGCGGGAACACGCGCGCGTATTAGCGCGAAGCACGGGAAAGCGCGCGTGCGTATGCGGAAATTGATAAAGACTAAGCTTAAGTGATAATATGATGCAATGTAGGAGAAGAGAGATGCAAAGTGTAGACAAATAGATTTCTGCTATACTCTGCTAAGTAGTAAGTGACTGGTAGGAAAAGTAAGTTGTGAAAAGGTCAGTGAGTAATAGTATGTACTGCTGGCGCTTATATAGTGCGCCTAAGCGCGGTCATGCGGAGCTGAAGCGCTACGGAGTAGGTATGTAAGGATATATATGGGTGAGAGTCCATGATAAAAATAAAGGTGGAACACTATGCTAATAAAGGAAATGGAAATATACGCACTAGGGAGCTTGGTGGACAGTGGATGGATGCATCTGGATGGCTGGCGCTATAGGGTGTGCAAGCGCAGGAACACATGCGCGCGTATACATCGCAAAGCGCGGGAAAGCTGCGCCCCATATAGGAATTGCTGTGGACAGTACACAGAGTGGTGCTGCGAGTTGGTGCTGTATACTCCCTTAGTGGAAACTGCCATATCACGCCATGAGAGGCATGATTCTCTACAGCGCACCAGGCACCGCTCCGCTGGGAGACTCTATAGTACAGGCGCACTGGCGCCTACAAGGGAAACTAAACTAAAGCACATTCTAAGTACATCTACCGCTTTTCCTCTAGCATCTCCACGATTTCTTTCTCCCAAGCGCCCCAATCGCGCCCCATGCAGTAAATGTGATTGCTCATTGCCATTACCTCTGCCTCCTGCACACAGCTATGCTGCCGCATGTCTATGACTACTCCCTTCCACTTCGCCACCTCAGCCTCCAGCTCAGCATTTCGGATCTGCAGTTGAGTGGCCTCGATCCAAGACTCATCCAACTGCACCACTAAGTCAAGGTGAGGGTGCTTAGGCGCCAGTGCAGGACGGGAAGCGAGAGGACGCTTCGCACATTGGACGACAATAGTCTTGCCGCCAACGGCAGCATCCTCATCGACGGTCGACTCACCGACGATTTCCATGCCTGACAAACTGACATTAGGCACGGTATCAGTAACCGAACACAGCGCCGGTCCAGCGACAGGAGGAGGTGTCTTGCCCTTTTGGGCAGGCGCAGGAACAGGCGTCTTTGCCTTAGGTGCGGCTGGCGCAGCCACCTTGGGTTTGGGCACAGCCAGCGCGCATTCCTTTGTCTTGTCGCCAACTAAAAGAAAATATTTAGTGCAAGGAGAGAAGAAGAGAAAAAGAAACAAACCAAAGAAGCAGCCCTTCTTGGCCTTGGTGCATCCCTTGCATTGCAGGTTGCCGTCGACCAGGACACAAGGGATCTCAGTAGTCGCGCACCGCGCGCTGTAGAAACAACAATACTGAGAGGAACAAAGAAATGCTCCTGACTGTATCTAAAAAGTTGTAGGTCGTGCGTTGCCTAGTCTGCGATACTTGAGATGGCAAGTGCATTCGACCCTAAAGGGGAAGCAGGTGCAGCGGAGATCTAGAGGTACGCGCTTCAGCGAAGCGCGAGAAAGCGCAGGTGCGCGCAAGGTACGAAGGCGCGGGAACGCGCGCGCGTATTAGCGCGAAGCGCGGGAAAGCGCGCGCGTGTAAGCGGAAATAAGAGAGACTAAACTTATGTGAAGATATAAGCAAGATAAAGGATGTGAGATGTGTTGTGCTAATGAATAGATTTCTACTGCGACTTTCTAAGTAGTAAGTACTAGGTAAAGTTGGGTGAAAAGTAAGGTAAATAATAGTATGTACTGCTGGCGCTTATATAGCGCGCCTAAGCGCGGTCATGCGGAGCCGAAGCGCTACCGAGTAGGTATGTAAAAATATATATGAGTGAGAAACTATGATAAAAATAAAGGTGGAACTATGCTAATAAAGGAAATGGAATATACGCACTAGGGAGCTTGGTGGACAGTGGATGGATGCATCTGGATGGCTGGCGCTATAGGGCGCGCAAGCGCGGGAACGCACGCGCGCGTATACATCGTGAAGCGCGGGAATGGTGCGCGCATGGCGCGCGTTGCGCGGGAAAGCTGCGCGTCATATAGGAATCACTGTGGATGGTACACAGAGTGATGCTGCGAGTTGGTGCTGTATACTCCCTAGTGTAAAGCGCCATATCACACTATGAGATGCACGAGTCTCTACAGCGCACGGGATGTCCAGGTGCGTAATCACTGGTGTTGTGGTAATACGACCACCGAGACGCTAGTAAGAACAAGTTAGCGAAAAAGAGGAGACAAGAGGAAGAAGAAACTTAGGGGACAGCCCATATCAGTCACTTCCGCAGAGGCTGCCTTCTCCATCATCTTCGAAGCTTCCAGCACCTTCTCCTTCTCCAAACGCACCTGATGTGCAGTTGGCGCAGGTTCCACAGCCTTCTCCTTCCAAGCCTTGATGGCTTTGTAAAGGGCCTTAGCAGCAGCCTTGCCAGCGGCAAGATACACTGCTTCCGCATCACTGAGGGACAGATGTACCTCAGCGGCGCGTGCCTGATCGAACAGCGAACTCATATCACTCTAAGAAAAGTTATATTAGTCATCAGTAAGCGGCACATCAATCATAGGAACTCACCATCATCCACTCCCAAGCGCGAAGCCAGGACTCCTGGTCTTCAAGGAGCTCTGGTTTTGGAGGAGGACTAGTCTTCACCGAGATGTGCATCGTGCTTAGCGTCACTGCCCAAGACCAACGGATCCGGTCGGCAATGGTTTCCTGCGGCTCCTTTGGAGTCGTGTCGTCAAGAGTGGTGTCATCGACAGACGCGTTGCCTTCGTCTTGAGGGCGCTCCTCAGGTTCAGGTGAGGGAGAGGGAGATGCAGTAAGCATAGCAGGGTTAAAAGGAATGGAAGACATGATGGTATAGGTGATGGAAAGGTTATCGCAAGGACACGATGGATAATTGAATTGAAGAAGAGAAGCACGACATGAGGCCAGTTCTTTTATGCCCGAAACAAACCACATTATGTCAGCACAATAGCGCTCGCAGTCCACATCTTGCTAAACTCTGGTGGACCATTCCACATACACTTTCGGCGCATTCTGCCCACGATCACGTGACTTTCCTCGTCGAAATTTTGTTGAGTCCATCTGCCCCTATATACACTGACTGGGGACAGTCAGAAGCTAAGTTCCTATGAGATGTAGAGACTGATATCTCTGTGGGCTTGCAGGGATCTAAAATCCCATTGTCTCTATCACTTCCCAATATAGTGCGACTCATATCTCGCCCAGTGCACTCAAGCGCTTCATCGGCCGCTCGCACACACCAGCGCTCCGGCCACTCCTTAGTCGCGCATCGGCGTGCGCATCCTCAGTTCCGTCGCACGTCCTCCGTCCATCCATTCCATGTCTGTTCGGTTCATCTGTGCGTATTCCAATTCTATTTTTCATTGATTCTAACATATCTCTGGCGCTTATGGCCTTATTTCATATGTTTTCCGTTATGGACCCTTTATTACATATTATCTCACATCCGCTTTGCTTCTCGGTTCGCTTTAGCGCTTGACAGCGCTTAACATTACTTGGTATATATAGACGCGTATAAATTGTATAATGACTATCTTTTCTGCCCACACATCATTGGACTATAAGTCTAAGTTGTCCTCTAAAATCTAAAGTATCTAAGTACAATATGAGCGCCGCCGCCATACATTACTAGAAACTCTGCCCATTAGTATGCTGACTCATTAAGAGTCGCTGTGCTCCACCACCCGCACACGCACCGCTTCCGCTTAGCGCGTGCCGTTATCTATAGTCGGCTGCTATCGCCCATTGACGGTTCACATCGCCTTCGCTCACTCGCGCTTCGCTCATCGTCGCGCACCTTACCAGGCTTGATCAAGTGCCCGGTTCAGTGTTTCCCTCCGTTTTATACACTTAGAGGAACCTTCTCAGTAGCAATCCCCTTGGGCTGATGTATATCTCGCTCACCGAGGACTACTTGAGTTATCTCATACCACCTATATTCACCCACTTCCCATTCCTCTTCTACATCGGATCAAAACATTGACTTACATCCTTTTGTGGCCCCATATCGAAGGATGATTGTCGATATCAGATGCAAGTTTAGATTCTAGCGTGTGTTGTAGACAGACGTTAGCGCTGCCTAATTCGGAATCCAGGCCTTGGGCCTTGGGCCTTGGACCTTTGCTATTATTATCACTTAATGTATTTACTATTTATAAATTGATACAAATATATTTTATATCTATTCTAATTTTAAATGCGGCTGGAGCAGGCTGGAGCTGGCTTGAAGACCTATGAAACAGCTCAAATGACCGGACCGAGCCATATATTATGTAAGCTTAATTTGGTACACAGCTAGCCTAATTGTAGCTCTGCTCTCGGCTAAAGCCGGCCTCAAGCCAGAGCTGCGGCAACACTATCCATGCCATACAACTAAGTCAAAGAGAAGGTTGAGGACGATCAAGTCATGCTCTTTGGGAAGAAGATCTTTGAATACAGGGAGGGCACACTGCATGATTATATTATAGCGTAATTTACAAATAGCCCATAAGACATACCTGAAGGAGATCTTCAAAATCTCTTGCAGCAAGTTTCTTCATAGAGGACACATTACTGTGGAAACACCGAATAGTACCGTGTCCAAAAGTTGGAACCATGTGATACCTGGCAATATATCAGTCAGGCTGACACTGTCAGTATACCATTACTTACTGTTTATTGAGGTCTTGAACGGAATTTCCTGCTGCTGCATGCAGAATTCACATAAGGTGAGTAAAGATTGCTTTCCAAACCCCAATTTCGAACTTGTGCAGGAGGTCCACGACAAACAGGATGAACAAGTTGAATCCAAACCTTGTGAGTTTCTCTGAGAACATGTTCTAGTATATGATCAGGACAAGTTATAAGATTAGGTAGATGTACTTACTCGAGTAGGCACCATGGATTTATCGTTCAAAAGATTGTTCACCCAAGTACCAGAAACTGGAGCCCCCTTTCGAATATGAGTGACCAAGCCCTTGCAACACTATGATGTCATGAATGGTCATTGACGTGCTGCAACTTGTCTCAGCGTCTCAAATCAGACTTCATTCCCATCTTTGGAACATCTGCCTTCTTCACCAGACAGCACGGACATGGGCATTGACCCAGAAATTTGATACTCGCAAGTAGAATTCTAGAGAATAATGTCAGGGTAAATAACAAGGTTACAAAATGATACCTACTTTTCTGGATAGTCAGCTGAATAAGTAAAAAACCGAGGGAAAACTCGACGAGTGATGCCATCTGAACATTTGATGACAATACCATGTTCATAAGCATCCATGAACTTGTCATCCAGGAGGAGTGTCCAGATAGCATGCATCAGATCCCACTTGCAGAAGGTATATGTCTGGTCTGTCGAGGGTTCCCCAAATATGCCAATATAGATTTCTTGAAAATCACTGGCGAGCTATCTCAAAATATTCAGCCCTAATGTTCAGCAGTAGCAGATGAGACGACGTACAGTTGGTATATAGGCGACATGGTGACATGCACCAGATGTTGGCTTCCCTCTAGTATATTTAGACTGATCCCCAAAAAATAAATAAAACAGCCACATTGAAGTGTCCCCGAAATTAGTTAGATGAGTCGCATCAGACCAAAACATGAGGGAGGCAACCACGCGTTCAAGACCATAGTCAGGTTCACGTGGCAACTTATTGATCTCCTTGTATGCTTCGAGCATGGCAGGGGAGCTGTGAGCTTCTGAGAAGACCTGGACAGTCTTTTCCTCTGAGATCTTCCAGTACTGAGTGAAAGGCATCATATTGAAGGTCTGCGAGATATCGTCCTCGAAAACGGCTGTGATAATGTCAATGAGTGAGCAGTGGTATACTCCAGGTATCTCCAACTCAGGAGCATCCTCCTCTGATGCCCATTTCTGCTTCTCCTTTGGTAGACGAATCCTGACTGTGGATTCGCACCAACCATATTCCTCCTGGAAAGGATTGGACTTGTCGTCCAAATATCTATCGAGCAGCTTCGACTCATGGATATGCGTGATTCCAACTGCGTCTTTCTGGCAGAAGAGAGGATCGTTGAGAAATGTACCAAGGTGATCAAAGTGCGTGGCTGAGTTCAGACCTGTCCCAGAATACTGCCATGCCATCAAAAGTCCACATGTTGGATTGGTGAATGCATTGAACAATTCATCCATCCCTACATCTGTGGACAGAAGTCCAGCAAGAATCTTTGTGCACTTTGAGCCTGGTTGACTGCAGTCAAGAGTAGGGGCATCCGTCACAGTGTTAAGAGTGGTGCCATCTGTGGGAACCAGTGTGGGATGGGTGGGATAGATACAATATAGGCCCATGTTGTCGGGCTTGGTCTTGAAAGGCACAAGGGTGGGTTCTAGGCTAGGGGTGGGGCTGGGTGACTGAGGGCGATTGACAGCACTGTTGACCTCTGTATGCAAGGCCGACACTGCAGTCTGAGGCTGCTCACCATGCTGCTGGCGACTGGTGCCTGGCATATGAGCAAGATGTGTTGCTGAACCAGGAAGGTAATCAACATAGCGGCGTGGCATTCGGATTGTGTGCCCAGAGCATTGTGAGACAACTGGACCGGGTGGCAGGACTGTAACCTGAAATTGTATCAAGATCAACGAGACATTACAATGTAATTCACTAAAAGAAAACACTCACATTATCTTCAGGGAGTGGAACATTGTCGCCGGCTATGTGTGACAGTCCAGCAACATCATTATCCTGCTGCTACAATGTTTTATGAATATTATGAGAGGCTATAAATGAAATACTCACAGGCACATCATCATCAGGCGGGTCAACCCAGCCATCATTGCAGATATGCTGGATTCCATCCTGAACAATCTCATCTGAGTCTTCAATACGACGCCTCTTCTTGCTGTGCTTATCTGACCTGCACTTTTTTGGCTTTTCATAGATAGAGTCGGTCAGCTTAACAGACATATTATGCCCACACTACGCAGCATGCGACAACAGCTGCCTTGTCGATTTGAACTGCCTCCCACAACCAAGACACGTTGGACGGCCTGACATAGTTAACAAGATACAACACAGTGAGGAAAGTGATAAGTTACCTGGTCACGACACATCTGAAGTCTTTATAGTCACCAAGACTCGGTGTCGACTGCTGCCGATTCTAATCCTTGAGCAAGATAAGCTCAAGAGTCATGGGCTGATCCACTGTTCATGCGACAGTGTGCCAAGCTCACCAAGCCAAAAGTCACACTGCGACACCAAACATTTAGAAATTGATATTGAATATTGTAAAGCATACAGTACAAATAACATAATGGGTGCACTGGAAGTGGCATCTGTTAGACGCTGTTGTATCTTTCACATGGAGATTCTCATCAATCACCATGCTGATCAGGAGGGGAAGCACCTGGTTGATGAGTGGGGTAAGAAGAGACCTACCAGGCTGGCTCACCTACAAAATGCCAGTCAACTTGAGTCGTGGAATGGAGAAGGGAGATCCAAAAACTAAAACTCACCTCTGACACTTAGACAAGGAGGGGACCAGAACCATCCAGAATAGAACCAAATGTGGGAATGACGCAAGTGGAGTGGGGGATCCGGGGATAGCAAGTGCAATGTCAAAGTGGGCATATATAGTCAATATCTCTGGTAGGTTAGGAGCACCAAAATCAGAGTTGACCTAGAACAAAATAAGTGTCAAACTACTCACTTGAGTGTGTCAATGACACTCGGCCAAGATTGAGGTACCAGGAAGGAGGTCCAGTCAAAGGTCCTGAAAATTGCTGTGTTGGTGCGAACAGCAGAGGTAAATGGTCTATGTATAAGAAATGACATTGTGCACTTGATCCTCAGATAACCTACAAAAGGCTTGTCCAAAGGTGCACAATCTACCATGCTGGCTCACCTACAAAAGGCCGGCCAACTTGGGTTGTGGAGTGAAGGAGAAAGAAAAAGTTTGAAATTGTGGTTTTGAAAGTCACGTGACTTTTGAAAGTCAGCTGGAAAATGCCAGAAATGCAAAGAGACACGACTACACGTTTCTCATAATCGTTTCTATCAAATACTAATCGTTTTTATAATCATCTACTACTATGTCAGCCCAGTCTATTCTCGTTGATGGTATCAACCAGGTCATTATCCGTGACAATGTCATTGTCATGGATATCGAGAACCTCCTGACTGGCTGGCCGACTTACGAGATTAATTTTACGCCCGAGAACCCAGGCCCATTGGTATGTAATCTCGATCTTTTCATATTACTTACTGACTTTGATTTAGAAACTTATCATCCACCTCAAAGATCCCATCAAGATGGTCCACATTGAGGATTCTAGTGATAGCGAGGCAGATTTGTTGATTCCAGGCAATCACAAAAGGAAAAAGTGAGTACCATTTGGTTCTCCTCTCACAATGAGATCGCTAACTTAATCTACAGGACCTCATGGACCAATCGTGAGAACAAGAGGACCAAAACGTGATAACTTTGGTGTTCTAGTGAGTTGTACTCATGTCAAAATTTACAGGTTCATGACCGATACCATCAAGCTCACTGAAGATCTTGCAGGCCTCAAAATCATGTCCCAGAGTTCTGGGTAAGGTTTTCTTATATTTACTTGATCACGCTGACAAATTTTGATTTACAGAAATAACACTGTCAAAGGGAGATCAGTGCGCTTAGTGGGAGCCCGCAAAAATCCTCTGCCACGAAAACGCATATTCGACAGTAGCACTCATTGGCCGCCCTGCCGTCCTCTCCATTACAGGGACGTGGAAGATAAGGATTGCATTGCCAGTTTAGATATTTTGTGAGCTGTGCCTGCTCCTGTTACCACGGACTTTACTTAGTTTAGATTTTGCTGTACCATTCTTTTTGCTCTCGCACTGCTTTCATGCTATTTTATTTTGCAGTCTGTACACAAGAATCATGTAATTGAAGAATTAATCATTGTACTTGACACGTCAACATAGATTTTGAGATATCGCATAGACGTGTTGTAGAAACAACAATACAGTGAGGCGCTGTCATATCCCATATATTCACGCTTCTCTTCCGGACTTCGGACCCTGAGATCCGGTCCGGTCCGATGTATAGATCCGCTTCCGATCCGATTTACGATAAGCTTTCTAATTCATTTCCTGTTTCATATAACGTTAAACACAGCCTATTCGGTATTTCCTCTTCCCGGTGTTTCGGTTATGCTTATTACCGGTATGATTACTGATCCGTTAACCTATGTCTCATTTCCGACTCGCGTTTGATAACCTTTGCACATGCTTCGTACATAGCCTCGGACCTTTGCTTACTGATACTTCCGTTATCCTCATAGTATATAAACTCGTGTATATGTCCTGTAGTACCTCAGTTCGAATATCATCTTAGTTTGTCCTCTTTCTGTCCTCCGGACTTGAGTTCTCCTTACTCTTGTCACTCTCCGAGACTTCGGATAGATTCCGATAGTCTATATCCTCGGCTCTACCTTCGGGTAGTCTTTACTCTGTTAGTTTCTAGTTCGGATACGTCCGGATTAGCCTTATACGCGTTTCCGATATCCGGAAGACTTCCGGATATACTACGAGACCCGTCCGGACCTTCGGACGCGTTATCGTTAGTACTTTGAAATAAGGGACAGTACTTGGGAAAGGGGCACAGCGTACGAGCTGAGGCCGAAGTCCTTCGGATCCGATCTTACGAGAGTACGACCTTAACAGTATATTCGAACTCACACCTTTCCAAGTACACTTACTCATATCATGGCTCCTACTAAAGTAAACCAAGCCGCTTTGCACGCTGTCGGACTTTCGTCCACCCGACGCGATCCGACATCCGTAGTTAACGCCTTCACCAGTTTCTCTCAGCGCCGTGTATCACGCGGTCCTGCTCAAAGTATTTCGCAACTCATGAATCGTCCGCATCCGGAAACCCCTACGCGCACTCCTGCTGGAGGTGATCCGGATGACGAAGGACCTCCGGACGATGAAGATACTCCTGGTGGAAACCCTCCGGATGACTTCGGAGGTGATCCGGATGATGAACCGGATGACAACGATGATGAATTTGACGGGTTAAACCCACAAGACCGTGTCATGCTTCGGCTTTCTCAAGCCATCGACAATCTCACACGCAACAATCGTCATCCGACCTCGTCCGAAGATTCTAAAGTCAAGATCCGTGAGCCCGATACTTTCGATGGCACTGAGCCTCGGAAGCTTCGTGCATTCTTCGTCCAATGCGAGCTCCACTTCCAAAGCAAACCCAAAGCCTTCCGTTCCGGACGGGCAAAAGTCAACTTCGCCCAATCCTACCTTAAGGGTATGGCACTCGAGTGGTTCGAACCGGATCTCCTAGCCGACGAGGACGATGATCGTCCGGATTGGATGGATGATTACTCCGCGTTCATGCTTGAACTCCAAACCAATTTCGGACCGCACGATCCGTCCGGAGATGCGGAAATGCAATTGGAGCAACTTCATATGCGTGACGGACAACGCATTAATAAATATGTTGTTGAATTTCAGCGTCTTGCTTCACAAGTCCGTGGCTGGGGTGACGGTGCCCTAAGACGCCAATTCTATAACGGACTTCCGGCTCGTATCAAAGACGAAATCAGTCGCATGGGTAAACCTTCCACCCTTTCCGAATACAAGATCCTTGCCCAGACTATCGACGCTCGATACTGGGAACGGAAGGGAGAAGTCGCCCGCGAAACTAAACCCACCACCTCCATTCCTCCTAAGCAAACCACGTCCGATCGGACGAATTCCAACTCGTCCGGACCTTCGAGGTACAAATCCGACAAACCCGCTACTTCCGCATCATCCTCCGTTTCTAAACCTCCGGACCTTACCTCCAAGTTAGGAAAGGACGGGAAGCTCACGTCCGAAGAACGTAAGAGACGGATGGATAACAAACTCTGTCTATTCTGCGGTGGACCCGGCCATTCGGCTCGGGAATGCACCAAGTCTACTTCGCGCGCTGCCAAAGGCCGCGCTGCAGTAGTAACTCCGGAAGACAAACCGGAGGCTTCGGATGAAGCAAAAAAATAGTCCGCAACCCTCCCGACTCCGCACGGGATGAGGGTTGCGTTGACTCTACCCGTGCAACGGAGCTACGTCTCAATGCTGTTTCTCTTTCCGATCCGAACTCTCTTTGTCCATACGTTTCTATTCCTACTTTTCCTGATATTTCTGATTTTCCTTCACTAATTGATTGTGGTTCCTCTCACTGTTTTATAGACTCTGATTTCGTCCGAAAAAATAAAATTCCTACATATCCGATATCTCCGCTTTCTCTCCGTTTGTTTGATGGTACTTGTAATAATATGATTTCCGAAGCTATAGATTTGCCTATCTGTTTTCCGTCCGGTGTAGTTACCTCCGATACGTTTTACGTTACTCCGTTGGATTCTTCTTGTTTTATCGTTCTTGGATATAGCTGGCTCACCCTACACAATCCGTTGATTGACTGGGTTTCGGGCAGCATCGATTTCCGAACGACTTCTCATGGAATGCCTTCGACACCTCCGACGTCGCTTCCGTCTCCGGATCCGCATCCTCCGATGGAAGATTTACCTCCTCCGACTACATCCGGAACCTCCGCTGATAAAACCATCCCCAACATTTCCTTGATCAATGCGGTTGCCTTTTGCCGGGCCTGCAAATTGGAAGGATCGGAACAGTTCAGCATCTACCTTCGTCCGACCGGTGTAGACCTCCGGTCCGCTTCCCTTTCATCCGATCCTCCGGACCTGTCCGGAATTCCTCCGGAATATCACGAATTCTCGGATGTGTTCGATAAGGGCAAAGCTAGCCAACTTCCTCCTCATCGTCCCTATGATCTCAAAATCGAGTTAGAGGAAGGAACTAGTCCGCCCCTCGGAACCATTTATTCTCTATCTGCAGTTGAGCTTGCAGCCCTCCGGAAGTTTCTTGATGAAAATATTTCCTCCGGACTCCTCCGTTCCTCATCCTCTTCTCACGGAGCTCCTGTCCTGTTTGTCAAGAAAAAGGATGGCTCCCTTCGCCTCTGTGTAGATTTCCGTGGACTTAACCAGATTACCAAGAAAGACCGATATCCGTTACCTCTCATTACCGACCTCCTAGACTCTCCGAGCCACGCTAAAGTCTATACCAAAATCGACCTCCGATCCGCTTATCATCTCGTCCGGATAGCGGACGGAGACGAATGGAAGACCGCGTTCCGAACGCGTTATGGCTCATATGAATGGTTGGTAATGCCGGAAGGTCTCACTAACGCTCCGGCTGCATTCCAACGCTTTGTCAATAGCGTGTTTGCTGATATGCTGGATGTATGCGTTATCGTATATCTGGACGACATCCTCATCTATTCCCAAGACCTTGCATCCCATAAGGAACATGTCCGAGAAGTCCTTCTCCGTCTCCGAAAACATCGACTCTATGCTAAACCCGAAAAATGCGCGTTCCATACCACATCCGTTGAATACCTTGGTTACATCCTATCTCCGGACGGCTTGACCATGTCGTCCGAGAAGATCCAGTCCATCGTTGACTGGCCGGAACCTCGGAAAGTTAAGGATATTCAATCCTTCCTCGGATTCGCAAATTTCTATCGTCGATTCATTTTCAATTACTCGGACATCGTAGTTCCGCTCACCCGTCTTACCCGCAAGGGGGTTACTTGGGATTTTTCCGATGATTGTCGGAAGTCTTTTGAAACACTCAAGAAAGCTTTCACGTCCGCTCCGGTGCTTACGCACTGGATTCCGAATGTTCCGATAGTCGTAGAAACCGACGCCTCTGACTACGCTATAGCCGGAATACTTTCCATAGTATGTCCGGACTCAGAGCTTCGTCCGGTGGCATTTTATTCTCGGACGCTTACCGCTCCGGAACTCAACTACGACACTCACGATAAGGAACTTCTAGCCATCCATGAAGCTTTTCGGACGTGGCGACATTACCTTGAAGGCTCTGCCGAGCCGATAGACGTTGTCACGGACCATAAGAACCTTGAGTATTTCTCTACCACAAAACTCCTCTCTCGCCGTCAGGCCCGCTGGTCGGAATTCCTCCATCAGTTTAACCTAGTCATCCGTTTCCGTCCCGGAAAACTCGGAGCTAAACCGGATTCCCTTACTAGACGCTGGGACGTCTATCCCAAAGAGGGGGATAAGGACTACGCTCGAGTTAACCCTCACAATTTCCGTCCGGTATTCACTTCGGAACAGTTAGCTTCGTCCCTCCGAGCCTCAACTCTAGTAACTCTGGTTCTTAGGGCAGCCGTTCTGATTGATATCGACCAGCTCCGGAAAGACATCCTGACCGCACTTCCTAATGACCCTATCGCATCCGAACATCTTCCGGAACCTTCGGATCCGAGATGGACGGTGGACGATAGTGGTTTCCTCCGCTGCGACAACCGTATATATGTTCCGGAATCTAATAATCTCCGTCTTCGCGTCCTCCAGAATACTCATGATCATCCGTTGTCCGGACACTTCGGACAGAACCGGACGCTAGATATCATCCGACGCGAGTACACTTGGCCAGGAATCCGTACCTATGTCAAAGACTACGTCAAGTCTTGTACTTCCTGCGGCCGAGCTAAGGTTCCGAGACACAAACCTTACGGATTGCTCAAGCAGTTACCCATACCGGAAAAGCCTTGGAATTCTATATCCATGGATTTCATCGAGCACCTTCCGGACTCATCCGGCTTTACAGCCATCCTCGTCGTAATCGACCGTCTATCCAAACAAGCTATATTCATCCCTACCCACGACACCATTACCTCTCCGGATCTCGCTCGTCTATTCGTCCTCCACGTGTTTTCCAAGCACGGAGTTCCATCCCATGTCACTTCGGACCGAGGAACAGAATTCGTATCGCATTTCTTCCGGTCCTTAGGAAAAGCATTAGATATGGTCCTCCACTTCACGTCCGGATATCATCCGGAAGGAGACGGACAAACCGAACGAGCGAACCAAACCCTTGAACAATACCTCCGGATATACTGCAACTATCAGCAGGATAACTGGTCGGAACTACTTCCCTTGGCAGAATTCGCTTATAACAACGCTCCGAGTGCTACTACCGGAGTATCACCCTTCTTCGCCAATAAGGGATATCATCCGAACCTATCCGTTCATCCGGAACGTGACCTCTCATCCGCCCGCGCACGAGACTATGCAGTAGACCTTGACGAACTCCATCAGTTCCTCCGAGAAGAAATGGCCCACGCACAAGAAAGATATCAAGGACCTGCGGACGCCAAACGGAAACCTGCTCCGGATATGAAAATCGGAGATCCGGTCTTCGTCAAAGCAAAATACTTCCGATCCACCCGTCCGTCCAAGAAACTCTCGGAAAAGAACTTAGGTCCGTTCGAAATCATAGCTCGTCCGGGTACGCATTCTTTCACCATCCGACTTCCGGATTCCATGCGCTCCGTACACCCAGTTTTCCATGTCTCGCAATTAGAACCAGCCACACTCAATACCATTCCTAATCGTATCCAATCGCCTCCGCCTCCGGTCGAAGTCGACGGAGAACCCGAATATGAGATATCCGAAGTTTTGGACTCAAAGTTAGACCGTCGGAGAAGACAATGTCAACTCCTATACCTCGTCCGATGGTCCGGATATGAAGGAACGGACGAGGAGACTTCATGGTTACTTGCTACGGAGCTCGGTAACGCATCCGAACTAGTTTCGGACTTCCACGCTGCATATCCGAACAAACCCGGTCCTATTCAACTTTGAAGTACATAGTGTGCATACGAAATACAAGTACATTTAGAGAAGAAGCATAAACGGACCAGAAATTCCTACATCTCCATAGACCCATCCGCCTCTCCGGATCCGCCTGCATCACTTCCGGACGCCCTTTCCATCACCTCATCTTCCTCCTCCGGACCCGGAGACGTCCGAAATCCCTTCCGAATATGTCCGAACAACATGGCTTGAAATTCCCTCTGTTGCTGAAGGAACAGCTCAATTCCGGAGCTCATCCGGTCCGCTGCAGCCCTGCTGCCTTCCGCCGCCTGAATACTTCTCCATCATCTCGCGATAATCTCGTCCGGTCCGGACCGATGGTTCTTGTGCCTCTAGGGATCGGCCCTAAGGGGGGGATACTGTCATATCCCATATATTCACGCTTCTCTTCCGGACTTCGGACCCTGAGATCCGGTCCGGTCCGATGTATAGATCCGCTTCCGATCCGATTTACGATAAGCTTTCTAATTCATTTCCTGTTTCATATAACGTTAAACACAGCCTATTCGGTATTTCCTCTTCCCGGTGTTTCGGTTATGCTTATTACCGGTATGATTACTGATCCGTTAACCTATGTCTCATTTCCGACTCGCGTTTGATAACCTTTGCACATGCTTCGTACATAGCCTCGGACCTTTGCTTACTGATACTTCCGTTATCCTCATAGTATATAAACTCGTGTATATGTCCTGTAGTACCTCAGTTCGAATATCATCTTAGTTTGTCCTCTTTCTGTCCTCCGGACTTGAGTTCTCCTTACTCTTGTCACTCTCCGAGACTTCGGATAGATTCCGATAGTCTATATCCTCGGCTCTACCTTCGGGTAGTCTTTACTCTGTTAGTTTCTAGTTCGGATACGTCCGGATTAGCCTTATACGCGTTTCCGATATCCGGAAGACTTCCGGATATACTACGAGACCCGTCCGGACCTTCGGACGCGTTATCGTTAGTACTTTGAAATAAGGGACAGTACTTGGGAAAGGGGCACAGCGTACGAGCTGAGGCCGAAGTCCTTCGGATCCGATCTTACGAGAGTACGACCTTAACAGGCGTGAACGATGCTCCTGACTGTATCTATAATTGTTGTAGGTTGTGCGTTGCCTAGTCTGCTTTACTTGAGATGGCAAGTGCGTTCGACCCTATAGGGGAAGCGAGTGCAGTGAAGATCTAGAGGTAAGCGCCGAAGCGGAGCGCAAGAAAGTGCAGGTGTGCACAAGGCATGAAGGCGCGGGAACATGTGCACGTGATGCGTGAAGCACGGGAAAGTGCGCGCAGGTATGCGGAAATGAGAGAGAATAAGCTTAAGTGATAATATGATGCAAGACCAGAGAAGAGAGATGCGAAGTGTAGACAAATAGATTTCTACTATGTTCTACTAAGTAGTAAGTGCTAGGTAAAGTGAGAGGTGAAGTAAGGTAAAGTGAAAAGTGAAGTTCAAGTTAGGTAAAAAGGTGAGGAGTAGTATGTACTGCTGGCACTTATATAGCGCGCCTAAGCACTGTAATGTGGAGCCGAAGCACTACTGAGTAGGTATGTAGAGATATATATAAGTAAGGGTCCATGATAAAAATAAGGTGGAACAATATACAAATGAGAGAAACAGAAATGTACGCACTAGAGAACTTGGTGGACAGTGGATGGATGCATCTGGATGGCTGGCGCTATAGGGCGCTCAAGCACGGGAACGCGTGCGTGCGCATATACATCGCAAAGCGCGGGAATGGTGCGTGCATGGCGCGCATTGCGCAGGAAAGCTGCGCCTCATATAGGGATAGCTGTGGGTAGCACACAGAGTGATACTACAAGTTCATGCCATGAACTTCCTAGTGAAAGGTGCCATATCGCACCATGAGAGGCATGAGTCTCTACAGTGTCGAGGTTTCCCAGCGTGTTCTTGAAACACGTCAATAGAGCCAAACAAAAGCTTGTAATTGATAATGCCACGGACGCATCTTATTTCCATCTTATCTACTACTATCATCATGCCAGCACATAGGCACTGCTCACTGTCAACCTCCAGTAGCTCGTCATCAGACAGAGATGACTTGATGAAGAGTCAGTCATGCTCCACTTCACCACCCATGACTTTGCCAATGCACAAAGAACCGAAACAGAAGAAATCCCTGCAAAAATGCGCGAGGGAATCATCAGATAGCGACAATGACACGAAGAAACCCAAAAAACGAACAAAGTAAGTTAGTTTCGCGTTATCAGGTGCATATATGCATATCTAATCCCTCCATCTTAGGAAACATAAAGACTCAGACTTGGGCAACAAACCCAAACAGTAAGTACATGCCAGCACATCTGAGTCATGTTTATCTCTCAATGTCCAATACAGGAAAGGAATGTCACTGCAAGAGCAATGCTTACATGTTGCACGTTGGATACCCCGAGGGGTAGACATGTTTTGCAAACTTACTGATGTCTTTCAGGTCGCACCTCTTGTCGAGCAGCGAGAAGCAGCTGAAAAAGCGGACCATATTGAGGACAAACAAGTTAAGAGTGACCATGAAGCAATATGGAAGAACATGTAAGTACAGCTCGCGATCACATTTCATTTTCGCTGATGACACTACTCTAGCTCCAAGGATGAAGAGGCATGAATGATGCGAACCTACAAGAAGATAACCATGGCTGCCCCATACCTACTAACGCTGGTCAATGGTAACAAGAAGAAGCGGCGAGAACTTGAGGGACTTCTCACTGAGGTAAGGCATGCATATATGCACTGGTTTGTGCGCTAATGCCACTTACAGATGCAAATGATTATCGGACAAGTTCATTCAGAGGATGCTAGCCATCTGAAACCTGTCATTGGACAGTATGCAGCATATGACCCTGACAACAAAGATCTGGATCCTCCCATTTGTGCTAATAATCAGCGGTCACGCACAAAGATGGGTATCAATCACCCGCAGCTCGCCAGGATGCTCTGCCCTGTGAAGCACTTAGGTGAATATTTGAAAGATCCTATAGCATAAGTACTCTCCACCATTGGTTGAAGCTACTGATGGTTGTGATCAGAACACGCCAAAAGTTGGAAAACGGTGATATCAAGATGCGCGCATTGGTCTGGCTGGCCCTGGTATACTCTGATAAGATCGCTGGGGAACATTTCAACCCTCAGCTGGTGCAGAACGGGCTATTTGAAGGATGCCTTCTCAAGCGAGTGAGTGATTTTTTATTAGACCGATTGATCTTCGAGTATGCATCAAACCTGTCTCTCTCAGGTGATGAGGCATCTATTCACAGGACCATCCTCCACTCTTTGCACAGACAGTGAATCTGTTGGGACGTGTCCATGTAATGCATGTCTCCATAATATGATGGAGGTAGAAGCAGAGAATATTGCATATAGTGTGATTCAGGTACATCTTTCAATACACTTACTTTTTACATTTTAACTACTACTCAATGTCCTTATACAGAGCTGTTTTGCCATTGGTTTGCATGACAAGTGGAAGGAAGAAGACGGCACTTACAATTACTGAGATGCATACTATTGGATCATTTCAACAATCTGTGACGCCCCAGACCCTAGTTGGGCAAAGGCACTGCACGAACATTGGAACCTGTATGTATTAACTTCTTTAATGAGCAGTATCTAACATTGAGCTTCATAGCAAATTGTTCAAAAACAAACTTGGGCTTCATGCCTCATCTTCCATGAACACCACCGATGATGACAATGATGACAACTTCGCTCTAATGCGAAAGCAGTACGAGCAGAGGCTTGCAGATGAAGCCACTTCACGGATGGTTTCTTTGGATTCTGGTCCTGGAGAGGAGCTGCCTACTCCACTGAAGAGTCCATCTGTTCCTGTCACTGCATCTGATGGTGCTAAATCTAGCACGAGTCTGCCACCCGAGATTCTGCCTCCCAGCCCAGATCCAAAGCCTCAGGAATCTGCGACATCCGAGAAGCCCGAGGAGCAGGTAGTATCTGCTAAGGAACGAGCCGTTAATAATTTCAGTGATCTTAGTGAGCCTGATGAACTTGACGAAGAACCCCAGCCACCAAAGTCCAAAGCCAAGAGGGGCCGTATTCATAAGGCTGTTGTACAGTCACCATTACCAGCACCAAAGAAGGCCAGGACGAGCTGCAAGAAGAAATGAACAGTCACGATCACTTACTTTTGTAGGTCACTGCATGCTTTGCTTACATCAGGAAACTGGGTTTTTCCCTGATTTGGCTGATGTGACTGTATGACATGACTGGTCTGATTTCAGACCTATCATAATCCCAGATTGTCAAAATCACAGTCAGACAGTAGTGTCAGACACAACATACTCTCAGTTCATCAGAACATCATGATGCTCAAGTATTTCAGACAAAGCAGTCAATCCTATTCACAGACTATCGTGGTTGTCAAACACAGCAGGCTAGGCAGGATATCAGTCTCTCAGGACCACTGGACAATCAAATATATCAGACCAAGTCAGAACACAGTTCTGACAGACTTTCAGTATTGTCAGACCTATCAGATACATCATAAGCACAGATATACAATATAACTGGTTAGTCAGACACATCAGTGTGATCAAGCACTCAGATATTCAGCCTATCTGATGGTGCAGACACCTCAATAATAGCAGAGTCCCAGTCTGGCATATGTTTCCAGTTATCATAATGTCAATGTTGACAGATTCAAATGATATCAGACAGCTCAGGTACTTCAATGCAATTCTGCAGTTCCAGTCTCTCCATGTATCAGAATATCTAGTAGATACTTGCTTCTGAGTGATCATGATGGTAGGTGGGGAGGGGGGGTCCAGTTCTGCTCACCAAATTCTTCGATCACTTGCTTGTGAGTGATGGTAGGGTGGAGGTCAGTTGTTTGCCCCCGTCCTCATGCTAAAGGTAAGATGGCCTAGTACTACTATCTTATCACCTGCAGAGGGTAGTATACCCATGGGTACTATCTAGTAGTATATAGTAATACAAATACTAGCTGGTAGCCACTACTAGTACTAGTATTGAATCAAAAGGCAATTTCAAAGGCATGATAATCTGAAAACTTATTAACATAAAAGGCCACAAAAGCAAGTAAAGAATCAGAATGTTGCATATCATGATCAATGTAATCATTACCATAGACAGGAATCAAGTGTGCTGGACGCAAAATTGTGTCCAAGTGAATTACTGAAATAAGACGCTGACCATTGGCATCAAACTCTGGCTCAACCATTCACATACCAGTGTTAGGATGTGGCTGATCACCAATAGTTTCAAACCAACGGACAAGTGCACAAGGATAATCAACTCCCCAAAAGTAAAAAGAGAAAAAGAGAATGACTTGAGCAACATACAGACTCTTGAATCCTTGTAATGTAGGATCATGTTCAACAAAAACACAATCATGACGAGCAGGTCCATTACACCAAGTTGGTGTTGAGCGGATGATATGACGCAGCATACCATTGACTCCACAAATATCACTAGGAGCATAAAATGATGCAACTGCAGAACTAAAAACATGCACCCTGCCATTGAAGTCTGGACAAAGGGACACATCCATCTCATGCCCAGGCAGAGGATGATCAGGATTTCATTGATCATGTAGGAATTGGCGTACAAGATCATGGAAGTTGAGAACACCAATGAGTTGGCCAATAGCCTGTAACTGAGTTGGATGATGAAGCACTAATTGACATTCCACTCAATTAATATGCTCAAAATAATGAAAAAAATACACATACCTGGTGTTTTGGCCAGCTGAACAATTACTTCAGGTTTATCTTCCTCATCTACAAATGCATCTGCCAAATCTCCATCATCTCGACAATTTTCATCATCCAGATCACTAATAGAGTCAGAGTCGACAGCAATGATATTAGTTGGCAGTAAAGGCTGGCTAAGAAGGCCTGCAGCAAACTTCTCAGCCCAGAATTGAGCAAGTTTATCGAGACATTGATTAGTCACAAGCATTTGACCTAGTGCAAGATAGCCACTAGATCTTCGCCAAGGCTCCTTAACAGCTTTGCAATGCTTTGACTCAGTAAGGGAGGAACATAAACCATTTGGTGCACCAAATTGTTGGATGAGATGACGATAATGGCAAAGTGAATGTTGACGAGGCAAGGAGATCCCATTAGGTCGAACACCTGTGTCCACGAAGACACTTCACTTGTCATGAAAGCGTAGGAGGGCAGCATCAAGAGCATTTAGATCACCTTCATCTAGGCTCGAACGACGGACTATATAGCAGAAGTCCAAAAAGGCGCTAATTGCTTGAACCATTTTATCTGGGACATGGCCAGCAATGGCTGGTAGAAAGACCTGTAGCTCATGTATTAGAAACAAGAGTAACTGAATAAATAATGATTTTTTACCTTCATTAGTGCCTTAGAATCATCACCTGTCCACTGCTTGAATCTTCAGCCCTGTGGAAATCGTTGAAGACCTGGAAATGATGGGACCACAGCAATGCTAAATTATTACTAGGTCAATACAATAATACAGGAAACAACGAGATATCACTTAGTACTGATGATCAATATCAGCCCATATCAACTGAGCTTGTGCTTCGCCATATGTTATGACAAGGTACTCGTCAACCCACTTGACAAGATGGTCTTTGAAGGTGCCCTTGATAATCTGATGAAGAATATCGGGGGCAAGAAGTTCATGGATATCAGCACGCGGAAAATATGCTGTGAAAGACTATGAAATTATTGCAAGTCAATACTAAGACTTAAGTATCAGTACTACTACGAGGTAATGCCTACCAAAATATCATCAATGATACCCCACCCGAACCACATGTCTAATGCCGAAAAACCCTGCTTGAGAGTTCTCGTATGAAGGTGTGATCTTCGGCCACATTGTGTCCCATCCAAGTTTTTGGGATCGGCAGTCCCACTGTCAATAACCCACAGTACAGATTAGATTCGAAGTGTGCTCTTCGAGCAACAGAAAATGACGTACCATGGACACCAATTTTGAACAATGCACGATAACAACAGCTGTTCAGGATAATCTGCGATATAGGGTCCAAGACCATAGACTGCACGTTGGTAGTGGCTGTCCGCGCACTTAACATTGTTATCTCTGGCTTTTCCATTGCGTGACGAAAAGACTCGAGAATTGCCCTTAACGATGCATGAAATAAGTGACAGCGGAAGTTTCGAAACTCTTTGCTTCCATTGTGACCTCGTTCGGCTAATAGACATAGTTAATATATATTTGTATAATATTCAAAGGGAACGTACTCTTGGGAATTGATAGAAACCCGACGAGACTTACAGACTCTCGATGCGCACATCGAATGTTGTTGTGGAGGTTGCCAGCAGATATATATAATGGATAGTAATCGTTTTGACCGGTCGCTACTGAAACTGTGGTCTTGTCACTGCCGAGAATAACCAGCACGAACATAGCGCCATGGCAGTCTGGATCATCTGCAAGGGTATTCTACAATTATACCGGTTAACACTGGCCAGCGAACTACAACTGGGCACTCACACATTGGCCCCATGCCAAATTTCCAGTCATCAGATCTGTCCAGACCCACTGACCTTGCTCACCAAAGACTTGTTGTGGTGCATAGTCAATGCCTCCAGCAAACTCAGGGTTTGAAAGCTGGTTCCGCAGCAGCTCACGTGGGTCGTGATACCAAACATCATACTCAACACGTTTCCATGGAGCAGCGTCAGGATCATTCTGGAGTATCTCGAAGTCAGGGTGTTGGAGAGACAATGACTGCCACTGAACATCGTGTGAAGAGATGGAGTCGATGGAGTCGTAAAGATGGGTGTCGCTATTGAAAGGTGGATGGCTGTGAGTCTCGTCAAAATGTGCGAGGACCTGCATCAAGTCGTCTATTTGTTTTGCAGGCATTTGATTGCGGCGGAAGATGAAGTCGGCTAGCTCAAAATGGCTGTGGGAAGGAAAAGGATGCCAGGTATCATGTTCTGGGTGAGATGGGTGGTTGGGAGGCTGGTCTGGAGGCTGGTCTGGAGGCTTGTCTGGAGGTAAATCAAAACCCTCAGCATCACACAGCGTGCCATCTAACACTGGATGGTAAGTAAAATAGGTGCCCTGAGGCATCTCTTCTGGCGCAATCTCGTCATTGATGAACGGATGCTGACGAGGGCGGGTGGGACGTGGAGGTTCAATGTGAATAGCATTGCGATGCTGTCGGTATCCACCCAATGTCTTGAAACCACGTCGACAAGCGAAAACTTTAGAGTTGACACAATAGTATTTGCGTGGTCAGAATTCTGAGGTTGGCTCAGCCATTATGTGTTTGAGTTGAAGTCTACCAATTATTATACAAAAAACTTGAATGAATGGAGAGCATCAAATGACTTACAGTGTTTTCTCGTGAGAAAGTTGCGTGCTCCCACAGTTAATAGATTCCTGTGGTGGGACTTCAACTTGCTTTTTACGGGGTGTGAGCAAGTCCTAACCATTGACAATGGTTGCAACGTGTCTGTCAAACAAGTCGAAGCATCCAGGTAAGGTAGACTTACCTGCAAAGCAACAAAAGGATGCAGAGGACAGTGACGACGAGGACAATGTCAAAAAGCATCAGCCTGTCAGGAAGAAGCCAGCACCAAGAAGACACCAGCAGGCCAAGAAAGCTGCAGCAACAAAAGCGATAGCTCAGCTTGAGCTTGAGATGAAGGAGAAGGATGCACAAGACTTGTTGCAGGCGAATCGTCCCCCCATGTCGAATGTCTCGAAGGTACCTCGAAAGCCGAGCGGTAAGCCTAAGCCAACAGCAAAAGGGAAAGCAGCTTCTATATGTACGTGATTTTTTTAGTCTCTGTGCTTGGTGACCCAGCTGATGAGACGATCATAGAGGATGTAATGCTGATAGACAACGATCAGAATAATGAAAGCGGGGTCCAGAACAGCGAGAACTTACCAGGATCCTACAAGCCAGGTGCTAAGTTCACCAAGGCTCAGAAGGTGCACCGTGATGTTGAGGCTGCAAAACAGAGGGCTGCGGAGCAGCCGAAGGGCAGGGCAGAGAGCGAGGAGGACGAAGAGGCAATGGACAGCGGTGATGACAATGTCAGAGGTGTTGGAAAGAAGCGACAAAAGGGCAGCTGCACTTGCAGCGATGGAGAGACGTGAGTATGATAATCTGATTAGCGCTCGAGAATGCTGACTCACCATTCTACAACGTCAATCAACATTAATCAACACTTGTCAACATCGGGACAATGTCGTGCTCCCTCCTCTGAATGCCATTACCATCAAGATGCAGGCCCTCCAGCAAAAGACTCAAGCAGGATGACCTTCTGTTTTCCTTGCAACTGCCCCGGAGTGGCATGGTTAAGAACTGGTGTCAGGTCATATCCATGCAGGTTCCAAATCACAATCGACAACCCAGTGCTGCACCAAAATCTGCACCGGCTGCCAGTGGAACAGGTATGTACTAGTTAACTTCTTCCTTTTTTTTAATTGATTAAGTCAAAATTAAGGCTCACTTGCATCCGGAAATACTGTCCATCCAGGCAGTTTTGAGGTCGAGCTCAATGACGATGAGCAGCCTGAGCAGCCTGGACCCAATCAAGGAGAACAAGACCCTCTGTTGACACACGTTGAAGTAATCAAGGTATTTTTCTTTTCTTCTTTTTGCGTGTCTTTCAGCACACTAACTACTCATTTATCTTTACTTTAGAATCCTCCCTCCAACAAGGCAGCCCAAGCAACCTCCACAGCAACATCAACTCGCCCTACCCCCAATGAGCCTCTTTCGCATTCTCCTTCCAACGCACTTCCTTCGCCTCCTTCCTCCAAAGCACCTCCTTCGCGTCCTGCCTCCAAAGCACCTTCTTCTCATCCACCTTCAAAAGTGTCGATTTTGAACCATACTTTCGGAGAACCCCAGTTCTCACATGCGCATTGTAGAGACTCATGCCTCTCATGGTGTGATATGGCGCGTTACACTAGGAGTACATAGCACAAACTTGCAGCATCACTCTGTGTGCTATCCACAGATATTCCATTATGAGGCGCAGCTTTCCCACGCAATGCGTGCCATGCGCGCGCCATTCCCGCGCTTCACGATGTATGCGCGCGCGCGTTCCCGCGCTTGAGTGCCCTATAGCGCCAGCCATCCAGAAGCATCCATCCACTGTCCACCAAGCCCTCTAGTGCGTATATTTCCATTTCTTTTATTAGCATATCATTCCACCTCTATTTTTATAATGGACCCTTACTTATATATATCTTTACATACCTACTCGGTAGCGCTTCGGCTCCACATGACCGTGCTTAGGCACGCTATATAAGCGCCAGCAGTACATACTATGAAAGAAAGTTTTCCACTTACTTTCCAACTTACTTTTCACTGAACTTTCACCTCTCACTTTACCTAGTACTTACTACCTAGAAAGTCGCAATAGAACTCTATTCCTTTACATCTCGCACTCTCACATCTCTTGCATCATATTATCACTTGAGTCTAGTCTATCTATCATTTCCGCATACGCGCGCGCGCTTTCCCGCGCCTTCGTACCTTGCGCGCACCTGCGCTTTCTCGCGCTTCACTTCGGCGCGTACCTCTAGATCTTCGCTGCACTTGCTTCCCCTTAAGGGTCGAACACGCTTGCCACCTCAAGCATAGCAGACTAGGCAACGCACAACCTACAACATTTTTTAGATACAGTTTGGAGCATCATTTGTTCCTCTCTGTATTGTTGTTTATACAGCGTGATGAACAGGCTGGGACAGGAGGCTGGGAGCAAGCGGGCGGTGGATCTGGTGAGACTGACATGAGAGAGGGCGAGGACATGCACTACGGTAGGGAACAATGTTCCTCCCCAGAACCTGAGAGGGCAAGACCTTACATGTGGAAGGTGCACATTTTTTTTTATCTGCAACTCATTAATCTCACTAATCGCAACCTTTCAGCTTAAAGTAGTCAGTCACACAATTACTTGTCCTCCTCCCGAACGTCAGGGCTCAGCAACCAATTCCATGCAAACAGATCGATTGAAGACTGGCTACGGCAAGGTAATTCAACTCCCTTTTGTCCCTCACTTTTACTAATATCTATCTAGTCTAATGAGCGTCGTAACAACAGGGCCACAGGACAACAAGGGAAAAACAATGCTACCTCTCGCAAAGTAAGGTTTATTTTTACTCTTTGACTTCACTGATGTTTTTCTAGTCTGTTACAAATCCACCACGGTCCACGCGCAACAACAGCGAAGACGATGATGACAACGACAGCAGCGGCGACAATGAATCATCGCAAGCGCCACGTACTTGTGTCAAATTCACGAAGAATGACCTTCCCCCAGGCTCGCCCCGTGATTTTGATGCCCTCGTTGTGCCGATGTGGATTGATTTTATTTCCACCCTCGACAACATGTGGGATATATCTGATTTCACCGACGAGATGCAAAGGATATGGGACCTTGCATTACCAGCCATCAAGCACACTGTTTCCAAGTCGAAGGACCCAGTATACAAAATTGTAAGTGCTTACTTTGACTTATGCAGGCTGTTGTAACTACTTTGACTATGCAGTTGATGCAACGAGCATATGACTATCGCAGCGACTTCGGAGAGCGTGCAAAGATCGTAATCGCACAGTATATCAAGGAACAAGGCTGGATGTCTGACGAGATTCAACAAGTAGTCGCATACATAGTTCCCGAGCAAATTCCATTGGTCAACAAGAAGGGACAAACGGTCCTCATCAATCCCCCAATTTATCCTTACATGTGGAAAGAGTGTCGTGGAGATGAGAAAGATCCCGATGCAAGTACCACGACTTTATACCGAGCCAATTACTGATGTCGTTGACAGAATTATTATGGTGCTTTCGAGGACCAATGCATCCTTGATACGTTTGTGCTATATCTCGAGCATGTTCACTGCCTCCCAACTACATACCATTCTAGAAAAATGCCGAAGGGCGCGCTGTCTATCGCCACAGTCGCAGTACGTCTTATTCCTTGCTTGAGATACCATCATGCTGATACTTGTCTATAGGTCGAACGAACGTGGAATATGTGGAAGACGGGGCATTTTGTTCAACCAACCAAGGCTTCTCAGCGCCAATTTGCCGAAGGACTCTGGAGCTACAGCATGGAGCTCATCATGGAGTCCATTGACAGAGCCACTCATCGTAAATGGAAGAAGATCTTCAAGGGTGCTGCTCCATTCATCGATGCTCATCGGAAACGACCGACTCGGCGCACACAGTTACAGGCTAAGGGTAAGGGTGTGAATGGTCGAACTGTCTGTGTAGATGTAGATTCTCATTCGGATTCTGGTTCTGATATCTTGCTCATGGCCTAATACTCGTATTACTCTTCTTTGTCATTGTTTATAGTCTCCCAATGAAGCTGATGATTTGATGATTTGATGATTTGCTTAACTGTGTAGTGTGATAACCTGGGTAGGCTGAATGAATGATTATTATGACATTTTGCCAGGCCTGTTATTCAGATAGTATTGAGGATTCAGTTTGAACTGCATAGACAGAGTATCTTGATTAAGCAGATATGGCTGGTTACCTGAGCCAAAGGCAGTGTTGACAGGATGATTCACTGATCCCTCTGGCAATCTAATGGGCTGAAAAATAAGCTATGGCTACACAGATTGATTATTTTGATAGAGCAGGTATGGCTGGGTATCCTGAGCCCCTGAGCTTCAGGCACTGTTGACAGAATGACTCGCTGATCTGTCTGATAGGCTGTCATGTCTGATGAATATGATGTTTTAGATGAATTGAATGTCTGATAGGCTGTCATGTCTGATAAATATGATGTTTTAGATGAATTGAATGTCTGATCAAAATGCTGCGCCTGGCCAATATGGTATGTTGATCACTCTGACATTGGTCTGATTTCAGAAGTGACCTGTCTGAAATCTGACGAAATCTGACTGACTGATTTGTTTGATTTGACTAGTGGGCCTGCTGTCAGTCAATCCAGTCAAATCATGGAAAATCCCGGTTTCCTGATGTACTGTCATTGTGCTGACCAGCACAATATTCACATTTCAGGCTCGCACACCATTCCATCTCGTTGTATCATGTCTCTTCGCATCAAGGTCTTCGCAGTGCTGTCCATCTCTTTGTTGTTTTCGCTGTGTCTTTGCATCGATGCTTTCACACTGACTTCCGTCTGTTTCATCATTTGTTGTACTACTACCAGGATCCGGGATTACTCATGTTTCTGACTGCAACTTCCCTTTGTTGTAACTCACCACGTGTTTTACAGTACAATCAGGACCTTACTCATAGCTAATGCCATGTAATATGATAGCAAATTGACATCCGTTTAGCATGACATATCAGTGTGATAACCGGATAGAACAATGAAAATGGCTTAGCAGGACATATCAGCATGATACATGGCTAGCAGCTGAGGAATGATCAGCAGTTGAGCAGCACATTAGCGAAAAAAATGAACCTAGGTACAGAGTCACGTATCCTCCGCCCATGCGCGTGCAGGCTTCAGCCTTGTGTTTCAATATTTGCTGTCATAATAATGGAGGCCCTCGCGATCGGTTGGCCCTCGGTAATTGACAAATTTGTTTTTTGCTGGTCTCCCATTTTGTACATATGTCGGAAGTTTTTATACAGCATTTTAATCCATTAAAATGGCCTAACGACTAGGCCAATTATAACCCATTATTATATAACAGTCAGCATTTTATTACACATTTTGATGAATATTATAATAGATTGTAATGTGCATTTTTATGGTGTTCACCCAGTAATCGCAACGTAATCTAGTCATAATGGTGGTCGTAATGATTCCAAGGCACGTTAGAATAGGTTAGAATGCAGGGGCATTATAATGCCGGAAAAAAGTCTCCGACATAGCTTAGTCACCTTCATGACCCTTTTCGGCTGGTCACCTGACGTCATTGTCAGCATATTGCTAGACGACGTACGTCCATCATGATATGCGTAGTCTACTACGGCATCACAAGTCCATTGCGTCTTTCACCAGCATCAGAAAAGCCTCTCCTCTGACTTTCGAATCTCGTTTTCATCGATCCGCCTTCGTTATGGGAACTAACTCCAAGTCTGAAGATGAATGGCGTGCCATTTTGTCTCCACAGCAGGTGTGTTCTTCAATCTATACCTTGGACATAAGCTCACTCTTTGCGTCGGAGATAGTTTAGGATTCTCCGTCAGAAGGGAACAGAGGGACCCAACACAGGGGAATACAATCACCATGACACGTCAGGCGTGTACAGCTGTGCTGGCTGTGGCACACCACTATACAAGAGCAGCACGAAGTTTAACAGCGGCTGCGGATGGCCTGCTTTCTTTGATGGTAACTTATCATTTTCGGAAATCCATCTTCTCTCTCATGGTTCATCGTAGCAATCCCTGGTGCCGTTAGTAGGCATGAAGATCGGTCGATGTTTATGACGAGGACAGAGATTACCTGTACCGCATGCGGTGGTCACCTCGGGCATGTGTTCAAAGGAGAAGGATACGACACGCCAAGTACGCTCCTTTCTATCTTGCGTATTTTTGGTCTGGGTCTTACAACCTCTACAGCCGATGAACGACACTGCGTGAATTCGGTCTCGCTGAACTTTAAGGATGAATAAAGTTTTGGTTGCGTGAATATCATGAGAATGCAGATACAACGTGTACCATTAATGGCCGGTGATGCACCGTCGATTAGAAATTGAGCTTATCCAGTATCTCACCTGAGGAAGAATAGTCGAATCTCCTCAAGGACGGCTTAATCTCTATAACATAGCTGAATAACGAACAGCTGTATTATGACATACTGTAAGCTCGTTGCTTACCTGAGTTCTTATAATCAGCATAAATACTGTCCGCGATAAACAAAGCGTGCTTTGTTTATCACTTCCTTTTGACGTAACGGTTAAGGGACGACAGTCTTGGCCACTCACACATACTTTGGTAATAAAAATGCATGGATAAGCACAGGAACTGCACACCTCGATAAGAACGTCCACACGGTCCCAAATACAACCTGGAGATGATAGGCCAATCTCGGGGTACTGCTGCAAATGGACGAATGAGACCCTGGATGAAGACCTACGTATAGAGTCAGCCACAGGAAACAGAAAGGGTACACGGGATCGGGCGGTGTATAAATGATGCGATTGAGAATCGAGAAGCACAAGGAACGATAATTGGTAAGGCGAGTGATCAAGCTGGTACCGGCTTCATCTTGTCGATGAAATTCTACGGGAAACGAGGGGTCATCAAAGGGGGTGACTTAGAATCAGTGGTCACCGACTGCCTAGTAGTATTGCTTCACGCGATTGTCACGCGGTTGATGAAAAGATAAGTAGCAAACAACACATCTGTTCCTGAATCGTGGTCCTGTTTGTCGAGCTAAAGAAAAACACGATGTCCATTTGTGAATGTCAACTGCATGAGCAGCCTCACACAGTAGTGCCAGCTGATGATGCATACAGGATCAGTGCATGAGGCGTGTAGTCAGGCCAGGTGCCAAACTTACAACTTATGTAATCATGATTACGAACCCCCTAACGCTTCAGCATGCAGGAACTTACGAAGAACAAAGAATGTCGGATCGCGAGATCAGCCAATAGATTTGGGACAAGAATTTATTCGGTTAAATAATCAGACAATATTCCTGGTAAGAGAATTATGAGAATGTCGTGTAGGAAGGTCGTGACCACGCAGTGCTGGCTGTGGTATGAGATAGTCAATATCGAAGCCCTACATGGAGAGCGCACGAGACGTGAAGAAACAGATCACAGTGACTCCATGTTAGCAACCATGTTGTCCAGTTCTGCTTGCGACTGCTTGTACTTCTGTTGCATTTCCTGTGCAAAAGCGTCAGTTGGCATTTCAACAGCATAGAACAAATCGAGATACCTCGAACTTCTTCTCCCATTGGTCACGCTCTTGTTCGATTCGTTGAACTTGGCGTTCGAAGTGCTCTGCCTTGACGTCCACTTGTCGCAGCCTGAACAGGTAATCAGTCGTTGATAACAGAGAAATATGGTAGCCACAACGTACTTCTCCATCGTTTCTTTCACGTTCTTCTCAGCGGCATCAAGTTCCTCCTCCAGTAGCGCAATCTTTCTCGTAAGGTTCTCGTTCGTGCTCTTCAGCGATTCTCCCTCTTCCTGTGAAGCCTTGGCTTCTGCAAGTTTCGCATCTACCTTGTCAAGCTCCGCCTCAAGAACAGAGATCTTGTGAGACATCGAAGTAATCTCCTGATCCTTTTCAAGGATCAGTTGATCATATTTCTTGTTCTTAGCTTCTGCATCTTCGGCGCGGGTAACCGCATTGTCTGCCTCAAACCGCAGCTGGTTCATTTTCTACAAGCGCATGTTCAGTAAGATCGTATGTACGCAAACGATCACTGCCAACCTCTTTAATCTTCTCCATTGTGTTTGATGGATGTGCAGATGGTATAGACGATGATAGCGGTGAACGAAGAGGAAAACCGACTTGAACGGGCACTTTGCTGGGCACTGCCAATAGCCACAGTCAGCTTAAATGGGATGATACCGTGGGAAACGTGGATTCGACCATAAGCACTTGCCTTTTCCAATCATGATAGGACAATTCTTGGCAATTGGAAACCAAGCTGGTTTGCTGGCGTCTCTGTTCCTTGAAGAAATACAATCAGTATCTCACGTACTCCACGACGAGCAAGAACTGTGAATCTTACAGATGAGCGCACCGGTCGCGCAAGAGGGCAAGTGGCAGGTGCTACTTTTGATCCTGAGCTTCACTGATCTCTTATATCTCAGAACTGCCGATCCTCGAGGCCGTGATAAAGTGAGTCTAGTGCGCGCTCTTATTGCTACCAGTCCAACAAACCCTTGCCCACCGCAGCATACGGAACCGGCTTACTGCCCTGAAGAGGGACCGTGCCGAGTTTATCAAGCCGTCAGATGTGAATGCCCTATACCAGGCCGTCGTTAAACAAGGTGGGTATAATTCTTTCTTTCTTCCAAAGTGTTGTTTATCTCATTTTGGACACTTATCTTCCATAGTCACAAAACTCAACGATGTCCGTGATGATAACACGACCTACAACAATCGAGTGGATACAACACTGGCCGATGTGTTCAGCCTCCTTTCCTTGTGTTATCTTACATTGGGGCGAACGAAGGAATGTCCCGCTGTATACTCACAGCTGGCCTCCATGAGGGTCAGTATTCCATCTCTTCACTATCTCATCACGGGTGGTGTGCGCCCTGTGTTGCGGAGACCCAGCCGGCCATTGTCTACCGCATTCCATTCTGTCTCCATATCATCACACATGCGTCTACTGTATGAAGATCCGTGCTGATTGTTATTTATCACGCACAGCAATTACTCAGTCATATGGAAGAATCAGGAGTCTACAATGAATCAGACCTAGCTCCTTTCCAACGGAGACTAAGCGAGCTACGCCACATAGTACAACAAGATGCTGAGAGTAGTAAACACCCCGAAGCTATGACAAAGCTCCTGGAGCGCCAGTTTAATGAATGTGGTGCGCCTTCATCTCCGAATATCCTTTCTAAAGTCGCTTAATGAATGCTGCGGCTCTAAAGATGTTATCATGCGATCACTCCAAGGTTCTCTGTCGGTGCTCTCAGTAGAACTGGTTCCCATTCATGAACGCCTCGTCACGATTCGGAGACAACTAGTTGCGCTGGCTGCCAAAGAGGGTTCACACAAAGCCGAAATAAAGTCTCTGGCTGAGGAACTGCGCAAGATCGATTCGTGAGTGCGCCATCAACTAGACTACATCTTTTGTCTTTATCACCTTCACAGAAAACGTGTCGACGGGAAATTCCTTGGCCCAGGAGGAATTATGCCAGCTTCTCAAGCACTTTGCACCTCCCTCATCGAGGAATGCTTCGACATTCTCCAGCAAATTAAAGCGCAGGACGAGTCAAAGAACGTAGCGTCTTCTCTGAAGCCCATTCATGACCGCCTGAACCAGCTGCGTGCGGAACTGGAGAACCTTGTCCTCACGCATAGATGGAGTCTCCGTGAGACAGATCTTTATAATTATTCGATGAGCCTACACGAGATCGACAAGATGCGTATCGATGGCAAGTTTGTCGATACAGAGGGTAACAGGCCACCAGGACAGTATGTGAGTGGTGTTTGTACTCGTCGATGTGCAACTATTCATACATGTGCAGGTCCTACTGTACTTGCTGAGACGGTGTTATGGTCTTATCTACCGTCTATTATCGTCGAGCGAGCCGGTATCGGAGGAACTCATCCCCATCGTGCGTCTTTCTCCCATCTGCCCTCGATTCTGATTCTCATACATTGCATGCAGGCCAATAAACTCTCCACAGTGAAGAAGTGTCTTAATGAAGTATACAAATTTGGTGGTCCGTTTACGCCCCGGGACCTCTACCCCGTGAGTTTCCGGTCCTTTGATTATTTTGGTGTCAGGGAGTTCATTTTTCATAGTATCAACTGGCATTGCACCAGATCGACTCCATGCGGCGAGACGGCAGATTCGTGGGCGTAGGTGGAAATATTCCCGAAGGACAGGGTATCGTCATGGCACACCTGAACGAGTGTCATGAACTACTAGAGATGGTGCGTCTTGGTCTTGTTGTACTTCCTAGAACAGTAATACCGACGAAGCACGTAATATAGCTCAAGGAGTCCATGGGCGAAAACGAGGATGATCAAGATTATGACGATGAAGATGAGACCGAGACGGAAGTCGCAGCATGAGGCTAATTACTTGTTGCGAACTCTGCCGAATTCGATGTACCCCACTTATAGGCCTTGTATCTCACCATGCTGCTGACTTATATACAATATTACAATCGCGCTGCGAAAATAATCATGGTATTCGCGATAGGACTTTAGTGCGTGTCCATTACAACGGAAAAAACCGGGGTAGATACACAAGAATATCTAGTCTACGAGGAGGTGAACGACGAGACGTGGTCCTCAACGACCTTCTTAATTTTAGCCTCCATCTCGGGGGTAACATTGCCAGTCGCAATTTCTTCCAGAAGTGCACTCTGGGTAGCAGTTAGATGTGAACGGAATTCAGCTTCCCATGAAGTGATTTTGTCGACGGGGATGGAGTCAAGCTACATGATAGAGATTAGCGAGCGGCAGGTGAGGCTTGGAAGATAGTTACGCACGAGACCGTTGACACCAGCGTAGATGATGGGCACCTGGATCTCAGTAGGCAAGGGCTGGTATTGGCCTTGCTCTTTTAGAAAGCATTAGCTATATTTTTAGATCATTAAACGCAGTTGCTTACTAAGGAGCTCGGTCAAACGAGCACCACGGGAGAGGAGGAAACGTGTTGAAGCATCGAGATCTGAACCGAATTGGGCGAAGGCAGCGACTTCACGGTATTGAGCAAGGTACAGCTTAAGAGAACCAGCAAACTTCTTCATGATCTTCCTGTAGGCGGAGAGAATTGGGTTAAGGGTGATATACGAAAACCGTAACAGATACGAACGTTTGGGCAGCAGAACCAACACGAGACACGGAGAGACCAACGTTAATGGCGGGACGGACACCACGGAAGAACAGCTCAGCCTCCAAGAAGATTTGGCCATCAGTGATCGAGATGACCTATATGCGAGATGGGGGTCAATAAATGTGC